AGCAAGATCTCCCTGTCCTAGCACACCAAATTCTTTATCCATCACCGTAAGTGGAAATATCATTAGCTCATCAATACAAGCCAATTAACTGTCAATTGTCATAACTGTCAACAGGTATGTTGCACAAGAGCTTGAGATTATACTTGAGATTACATCTGATTGTTTGATAATCTATACCTGGTCTGTTTGTAGCTGCCATAATGAACACTTGACGACGTGATTCCAGGCCATCCATCTCAGTAAGCAATTGGTTCACTACACGGACACTGGCACCTGACTGTAAGAATAAGAATGTAGGGTAAGGTAAAAATGATAACCATAGATTTAAAAGAAAACCCCTAGAACATTCATCATTCTCTATCCTTGGTTCTCTTTCCTCTTGAGCTTTGATCACTCAAAGCAAACAAAGGAAAAACCCAAAATACAAGCATTTCTAATTTACTATACCATGAAATTCTAAAAAAGAAAAGGGTTGTATATCAGAATTACATTAATGGAATTGGATATACAGGGTTACATTCCAATTCCAAGTGGAAAAGCAATTTATGAAATTTGTTATAGCTACCCATCTCACAAAACAAGTGTTCTAACTGTTGACGTGGTAATTATAAGGCTTGTTTACAAAGTTGGGTTGAAATTCTATTGTAGCATACAAGATTTAGTAATCCCTTTCTTTCCATCTATATGTAGCAAATGTACAATGCCAATTTTAGTTTACATCACAGGGCTGCTCTGAAAACATGCAGAATAACAAATTTAAATGTACACTGCAACCTGTAGTTAAATATCTCTGGGGGAATGTTTTTAGAGACTCACTTCACGGTCTGATCTCCGAGGGCATAGAGCATCAACTTCATCAAAGAATATGACACAAGGTGCTGAATTTCTTGCACGTTGGAAAACCTGACGAACAGCACGTTCACTTTCTCCCACATACTACAAGCAGGAAGGAAAAGGAAATGTCTGTGAAATTCTGTGGAATCTTATTTTTGCAATCTTATTTAATAAGAAGTTGGATTGTTTAGAAGAAATCATCTGGGTCACAGATTAATTCATGCTTAGGATTCTGCCATAACCAGATACAAAACAAATTTTGAAATTGTACAGTTCTCCAGCAACAATTACCATCTGCCAATGAGCGTACATTTATCAAACCGACACAAGATGGAACAACCAAATTCAATTTGTCAATTCCTTCTCTAAAAAATATACTAAGCAAGCCATATTTAATTAATTTCCTTTCATTCTCTCTTATTGCCTGTTTTTTACTTCTCTGGCTTGCTAGGTCTACTTTTTTCCTGTACTTTCTGTAATTCTTTTTACAAGCAGTCCTTAGTGACAAGTCACTTAGCAACCATTTGAATTATGACAGACCTCCCAAGAGCTACTGACACCTTGATTTTAAATTTCCAACAGCTGCAACACTGACACCACCCCCGTGGTGATGTGATCGCATTTTGAGTGCTTAGTAACTGGCTTTATGACATTGGCAGTGTCCTGAAGTCATATGATTGTGATTTTCAGCATTTTTTGCCAGTTTCCAGTATTTACTTTTGGTTTCTGAGAAGAAACCAAGCATCCAAGGGGAAAAATGGGTTCGCTTAGCAACCACCATCTTTGCTTAATGACCGCTACAACAAACATTGTAAAATTGAGCATGGCTATATGGTGACCAATTTAACCTATTTAACAACTGCCAAGACTTATGAACCTGTATTTGTTCAGTGACCATTTAAAGTTATGTTCGTGCTGAATGAAGGGACTGAGCATTGGTTCCTGAAGTTATGGCCATTGCTGTCATGTGAACAAAACTTGAATGGTTGATAACCAGCTTGTATTTACGACCAGTTGCAGTGTCCTGCAATCACATGATTCCTATTGATGGGCTTCCCTGCCTGCTTCCTACAAGCAAAATCTATAGGGAAGCTAGCAGGGAAGTTCACAAGTCTTTTGGATAAGTTTTACCCCAATCTGGCCTCTCTTTGCTCACATGCACCATGCCCTCCTTCCCTTCCTTCATTCACCTGCACCCTACATCCTCTTTCCTCAGCCTTTCTGTGCTCACATACACACATGCACACACCCTGTGTGCTCTTTTCCACTCTTCCCGAGTTTGAGCCCACCACAGCACAGGCACCCTCCAGTCATGCATGGCCTATGTTTCTATGTGGCAACCTGCACTCTTTCCTGGGATCCTCCTACTTTCTGCTTAATGACTTGCACATCTGGAGTTACGAGAATTGTTTGGATTGCCCTCATTAAGTGGTGCAGTCATGTGACCACTTAGTCACGGCAATTCCAATCCCAATGGCTGTTGTAATTTGAGGACTATCTGTACTGTAAAAAGAAATGGGTGGTCAATATATATGTATACAAGAATTATTTTCACTACATGTATATAGCTAAATTATGTAGTTCAGTCAAACAATCCTTTGTATCAGAAAAACGTAAAAGATAGTGGTGACCAAGCAAACTAGAAAATAACTCACCATATTCAATAGTTCAGGGCCTTTCACTGAAATGAAGTTCAGTCCAGATTCATTTGCTACAGCCTAGTAAAAAATAATTTAGTTACTATATATTATGGTTGGTTGCACAGGCATCCAGATGTTTAGACCAGATGTAACATTTTAATCTACCTATTGAATTCCTTCCAAGGACCTAAGATAGGCAGATGTTCTTATCTGATGGTTTTGCAGGATATAAGCTGTTCTGAGTTTGTTGCTATTGTTGCTATTTTCTCAAGTTGCTACTTGTTGTTTGTAATCACTTGCAGCAGCTAGCTAGGTGGATTACTATTTCTTCATTTCATGTCATCATCTTAGCATATGCCTTTTATCTGTGAAAATCCATACGTCAAAACTTTATATTACTACCATGATGCAATACTGACTTTCTAAAGTAGTTCTTTTAAAAAATTTATAGTACAGAAATGCAAAACCAGGAAATTAGAAACATACTCAAAATAACTGAATATCACAGTGAATGTGACTGATTTGTATAAAGACAGAAAATACTAAATTGCATTAGTCAAACGCAATTTTTTTGATGCAGAAAAATCTATTGATAATTCTATAAGCAATATATATAAGCCACCTTAGTTAAATATGGATTTGATGTGGCTTCCAAACAAAAAATGGTCAATTTTTTAAATCTCAGTTTTAAATCCTATAAAAAACTACAAAGAACATCCTTTTGGTTCTTTGATGCATCTTTAGAATGTTCAACCTGTGCTGTTAGATAGAATCATAATATCTGTAATTTTTCCTCCCAATTCATTAGAATATAATTATATCTTGATGACATCTTATTGCCTATTTCTGAACTCCAGAAATACTTTGATTCTGGACTTGATGTATTTGCTTAATGCATTTGGGTGAGTTGTGAAATATTCCATTTCTCAGTCTAAGTTAGAAATGATACTGACAAGCAAAGAATTCTATATTAACGTATTAAGTAACTATAATGTTCATATATGCCCTGAATTTAATTATTTAGATATTTTTATTCCACATGCTACCTTTCCAGTAATTAAATTAAATTTGAATAAAGACATAGAGGGAGGTTTCTTTAGATGTTGATAGGATAAAATAAACACAGCCAATATGAATGTAAATTGAAGGACTGGTTAATCAGGTTAACACTGGGAAGAAGCTTCTTAATGAATTGGGGTCCAAGATCCTAAGCCTCAGCACCAGATGCAATCAAATTGGTGGGAAAAGTGATCTTTAAGTGTTGGAATTCTCTGAGCAAAGAAGCAGCCAAAATTACCTTCGCAAGTAGTGTTTTGCCACATCCAGGAGGACCAGCAAGCAGCACACCAGCTGGAGCTAGAAGTCCAAGGGCCCGGAATTGTTCAGGATTCCTTACAGGTGCCTGTTTAAAAAAGAACTTACGCTGTTAGTTTTCTTCTGCTATTATCATATAGGCAGTTCTCGAATTACAATAGCAATTGGGACCAGGATTGCTGTTGTTAAGTGATGCAGTTGAAAAGTGCAATGTCACATGATCACACCAGTTCAGTGATGACAATCCCAGTGGTCCTGGTTGATGTCGTAACCGCAGGACATACAGGTTGTTAAGGGGAAAGGGACAGAAAGCTCAGGCAAAAAGCATGGGGGAGCAGAAGGAGGTTTGAGGAAGCTGCATACGGGTCTGAGGAGGCATTGGGAGGGCCAAGGGAAGCCAAGCACAGATCTGAGGAGCCCGAGGCAGGACTGGTAAAGGCCAAACCACGGCGGAAGGGGTGCTGTGGGCAGGAAAAGAAGCATCAGGAGCGACATTTGAAATAACTTGCAACCTTCCCTGCCAGCTTCCCCATTGACTTTACTTGTTGGAAGCTGGGAGGGAAGGTGATCGTGTGACCACAAGGATGTTGTAATGGCCAGAACTTTGAAAATCAGTTATATGTCCATTTCTCCAGCACCATTATAACTCCAAACACTCACTGAACAAATGGACGTTAGACAAAGACTACTTATAATTGGAATGAAGTCAATTTTACAAACCATCATAAAATTTCCTAAATTGTAAAAAACGGCAGTCCTGCTTAAATTATCGAGTTCAGAAGATAACTTGGTTGCAACATTTTCTTTAATTAAGACATAATGTCAAATAGGAAGGCGGGAGAAGGGAAATCAGTCTAATTAAAGACTAGTATGTTGTTCCCAACTCCTATGGGAAAAACAACTGAAGACATCCAGCTTTGTGGCAGCTGGAATTCTGATGATACAAAGATAGCATAGTTTCTGTGATTCATGCCCTAATTGGATTACTGCAAAAAAAGATTTTATGTGGGTTAACTCGTGAAAATGGTTTAGAAGCTGCACCCGATTCAGAATGTAGCTCTCCAACTTTTAAAAAGGGGAGATAAATGGGACCACATATCACCACTTCTGTATGCCCTACACTGGCCTAATTCAATGTATTGACATTAGTAAGTACCGTATTTTTCAGATTATAAGATGCTCTGAACTATAAGACACACCTAGCTTTTGAGGAGAAAAAAAAAATCTGCCTCTGCCTCCCAGCATGCACCACTATTCATCTGGTCCGTTTGCCGTGTCCCATTCGGTGCCACCTGTTCGGCACTACCACTTGTTCAGCACTGCCACCTGTTCGCGACAGTCCGTTTTCTGCCACCGCTGCCGCCTGCCCACAATATTCGCTATATAAGACACACAGACATTTCCACCCAGATTGTTGTAGAGAAAGTGGGTCTTATGTTCTGAAAAATACGGTATTTAAATGATCTTTTAAAAAATTGCTCCCCTGTTACCATCCAACACGAGTTCAGCTTGTAGTGCCACAGCCAGAAATAGGATCTTTTTGGTCACAACACTCCTATTATTACACACTATTTGAAGTGAAATGACAGATGTCCCACAGATGCTCTGTGTTTTTTTTATCTAGGAATTTGAAGGGTAACATTATTTCAGGACCAAACTGTCTTTTAGACACTTTACGTGACTATTTTAACCATGAACTTTTAGTATTTTTCATCAGTCAACTTGAGCTCCTTTGGTACCTTCACCATCACCTATGCCATCATTTTTAGACATCATTTACTTTCCTTGGATTAATATCTTCATTATACCAACCTTTGACCAAAAGTCCTCTGATACTAAATATTAAAACTAACAGGAATAATCTTCCCTTTTAAAATGGAGCAACAATAAACAATTTGGTTTGCTGTTCACTTTGCAAATCAAAGCAGAGCTGATTTCCTTGCACATGTTGTTAGGCAAAAAAAGCACTATGTGCCTTTAATTCAGAATGGCTAGCAGACTCATGTAAGTTAATTTCAGAAAGTGAAATTATATTGTCTCATATAGAGTACATCAACATTTGGTGAAAGTGCTTCTGACAAAAGCTTTTGTCAGAAGCACTATTGATAACCAAAGATAAGCTGATTAAAGAAGCAGATGGANAAATGTATGGAACAACATAGGCGAACAAATCTAACAAGACTGGATTCAGCAGGCCATTTAAAAGACAAAGGGCATTCTTTTAAGGCAGCGAAGTCCACATTTTGGACAGAGAGGACCACTGGTTTGAAAGAAGGGTCAAAGAGGCCATCTATGTCAAAACTGAACAGCCCTCTCTCAATAGAGGAGGAGGGATATGACATCATCTCTCTCCAGTCTACAACACAATCCTTTCAGCAGTTCCAAGAAGTTCCACACCCATTTGCACCACTGAGACCCTGATAACACAGGTAAGCCTCCAGATGGCCTTAACGACTCGCTAAAAGAATGGAAATCACCAGCTGTCTGCAAGGAATATAAATTCTTCCATTACCCACCATCCAGTCAGAGTTGAAGAAGCTTCTTGGATGAGAAGCGAAAAGTCTTCAAAGAAAAACCAGAAAATCTAGTTGCCTCTTGGAAAAAAAGCATTTTTAGGCCAACCATAACCTGGATGACTGCGAATCTCCATAAACGTTCTGGGAAAATGTTGAAATGTAAATGTAAATTAAAAGCAGATTAATCTAAGGGCAGTATACATATTTTTGAAATAAAATAAAACCTGACTGAAGTTTTTAAAAAATAACAATTTACGTTAAAGAATTAAAATACAGACCATCCATGCAAGTCAGAAGCTGGGCTACAATTCTTCGCTCCATGTCCTTTGAAGCTATTTCTCTTTTTGGTGTGATAGCATCAATTTCATCTATGAAAAGGATGCATGGTGCATTGGTCTAGAAATATAAGACAAATACTCCATCAGTACAAGAAATTATATAAATTGAAGCATGCTACGGTTTTCATTTTATAATTTTAAAATATACATTCACTATGTTGACACTGACTTTTAGAATTTTCACTTCATCATGTAGGCATTGGATATTAAATCTCAATTGTTTCCCCTGCTAGAGAAAGAGATCTGCATAATGCTTCTATGTTATACCTATTTGAGGTGTGTGGAAAATGGGATTCTGCACCTGAAAGAGAATATTTTTCTGTGCTCCTTTCTTCCTTCTGCCATTCTTACCCTATCCTAGCTCATGCCAGGTTACCCAAAATCCTTCTTTATACTTAATTTTTATCAAATCATTCAGTAAGTAGTTTTGCCATGAGCAGTGAACCTTTAAATTTGAAAACAAGATGAAATATTTGAAATAATGGAATTAGCAATCACTTTTTTTGACAAAGGTGCTTGACATCTATCAATGATTTAGCAGTAGCACAGTTAAAATATGAATCTCTGCACTTTGGAAAACACTTTTCTGTATTTTTGTCCTATTACTTTACAATATGCTATACTGTAACATACTGTAACTATACTATACAGTATGTCATGTATACTTTACTTTATATACATGACATAATATTATAAAACATATTCTCAACTGTGCAACAACTGTGCCACCTAGCTAGCTGATCAAGAGTAAATCTTCTGTAAGAAAGGACCTATAGGTTACGTATAGGTTAACTAACTACAATATAAATTATTTTTTTCACTAATAAACAAAATTACTTATAAAGAAAGACAAGAACTTTTTATACATTTGTTAAGGGACATAGAGATGATTATCAAAAATAGCTTTCTTAAATGAACACAACACTAGATGGTTAACTGCCTAATGGTTTGACTATCCTTCTCCCCCACTGGATAAAATAGGTTCAATCTTGGATCTCCTTTGTTGACATCTCCCCCACCCACCCACCCCAAAAAATATAAAAGGGGAAAAAAGAAAGAAATCCACAAAAAAATTCCAATATTTTGGTTAAAGGAAAAGAAAAAAGTGACAAGAAGAAATGCCATATTTCAGCCTCTCCCAAGTAGCTGGACTAAAACTCTTACTCCAGGCAACATAAAGATATGACCTAATGACATACAAGAGCTGCCATGATGCAGTGGTTAGAATGCAATACTGCAGGCTACTTCTGCTGATCACCGACTGCCAGCAGTTTGGCAGTTTGGGTGTCACCAGCTCAAGGTTGACTCTGATTTAGCCCTTCCATCCTTCTGAGGTGGGTAAAATGAGGACCCAGAATGTTGTGGGAAATATGCTGACTCTGTAAACCGCTTAGAGAGGGCTGCAAATCACTGTAGCAGTATATAAGTCTGAGTGCTATTGCTAAGTGCTATATGAGTTGTCGCTTAGCACACATCTGAAGCACCAGATGCAAAAGAGTCTATGTGTAGACAGATCCAATTCACTAGGTATTTATTATATTCTTGCATTCATCCAATAAAAATGTTCTCTGGGAAGATTACACAATGTGTAAAAAAATGACTCACGTCTGCAGAACAGCAAGCTGGATGAAATGAAATAGTGACCTCTATCCAAGAGTATTTTTTAAAAAATTAAAAACTGAAATGCAAAACTGTGTGACCAACTGTCAAGTTACAGCTATTGGATGATGACAGGCATTCTGAGCCTAGTTTTATGCTGAAGTTAAAAATAATAACTCACTTCTGCAGTTATATCCTTATTCGAGAAGGATTCATTTACTCAAGGAACAAAAAAGTGAAACAGGGAAGGAATAAAAATGAATTGGAATCTTATGTCAGTGATGAAGTCATGTTAAATTTTGCTTAGTAATTTCTTCTCTCATATTCATATTTGGCCAATACTCATAATGAAGATGCCAGAAGAGGGATGAAGTAATAAAATACTTTTTTAAAGGGTCTTACCACAGCTTGATCAAAGAGCTCCCTTAATTTCTGTTCAGAATCACCAGACACTCCAGATACAACCTCAGTTGCAGCCACTTTGAGTATTGGTAATTCAAGTTCCTGGAATAAAAAGAAAAGAAGAAAACAAAGAGCTTTAATCTAAGTAACAACATTTAGCAAGATTTGGACTAAACAGAGGAAAAGTGAATAGTGGAGGAAAAGGGATCAGAGGTCACATTCTGTTCCAGCAAGTAATGATCAGTCAGGGAAGAAGACAGAATTTGTCCCTGGAAGCAACAGCCTTTTAAAAAGACAAACATGTCTGAAGTTTAACATTTTAAATAATGAACAGTTGAACAGGAAAAGTAATTGTTGTAACAATCTCACCCCGGCAATTGCTTGTGCTAGTAATGTCTTCCCACACCCTGGTGGTCCGTGCAAAAGAAATCCTCGAGGAGGAACAGCTCCTAAATGAGTGTAGACTTCAGGATGACGGATATGTATCAGCATCTTACATATCTCCTGTAATAAAAATGGCAATGTTGAAGTAAAATTGATTTGACTGCTATCCTTTGCTGCTCTACTTTTAGATTCTAAATCAGGATATATAGGGAAATAGTTACATATTTGTTGCTTGCTTACGCTGGATATCCCCCGTCATTGCCAATGGCCTTTTAATCTCAACTTTTGTCCCTGTTTTGCATAAGAGCAAGTTGTAAGACAGTTGTAGCTCTAATGATCCCGGAGAGAATGTGGAACTCAGCCCTAGCAATTTCAAAGATAAACACTGCCGCATGAACAGGAATCGGGTTAATGAAGGAATGCTTATAGTTTTACTGAAGAGATGCTAACTGCTACAAGTGTTGCCGTTTAACCTAACCCTTGCATCAGGGTGGAGTCAGGGTGACTGAATGGAGCCCTTCCTGACCCCTATGCGGAGCTCACAGCAGATACTTTCTCTTTGCTGCTACCTTGGATTGAATTCACAGCCTCCTGATTGTGAAGCGAGAGCTCCACCTTTAGGCCACCATGCCGCTCTTAACTCCTTATCTTTATTGATGCAGGCATATCCAGAGTGAGAAACACTGAATATCTTCTCTTATTCATGAACTCAGTAAGACATATTCTGCTTTGTAACTTGGACTTGAGAATTTTGCTCAACAAAGTTAACCTATTTTACTTTTTTCAAATAATCATACTGTTTATAAATCAATGAAGCGTGACAAAGTAATGAGCAGACACGGGTGCTTTCACCAGAATTGTTGTGAAAGCAAAACTGTAATCCTAAAACCTGCCTACAATTTCTTAAAAACCGTAACTTTCTTTTTGAAACTTAGCAGGTTTCTAGTTCTTAAGGCTACAAAAGATGTGTTTGTAATATATCATTAATGAATGATATATAATGCAGTATCAAGAAATATGTCCAATTAAAGAGTAAATGTTTCGATGCCCCTTCCAATCGGTAAAAACAGAAATATGCAGCTAAGCAGGCTTGTTAAGACAATTGGATTTCATTTAACAAAGAATCATAATTGCTTTCCAACATAACACATTCAGCACTCATCATTTTATGGTTAAAGCCTTCTATATTGCACCATATTTCAGCTGACAATTTTAAGAAAAGCCATTAGTTAAATCTAACCTTCAAAATTTCATCATTGCCTCCTATATCCTCAAATGTCATTGAGGAAGTTTGCAGCTCTATTTCTCTTGATTTAACTGCAGAAAAACAAGAAAATATTAAAAGACCAACCGCAGCTGATTGGTTGTTTTAAACAGAAGGAAAACAGCCACAAATTTCATATAGATTAAGCTGAACAAATTTTATATTGACAAACAGTGAAATACCCCTTTGCATTTTCCCATATAAGTACAAACAGGCCACTTCTTACCTTTCTGCTGCTTCAAAACTGACTCTATTTCTTCATCTACATTAGAAAATTCAACTTTTCTCCTTTTATATTTTTTGTTCTTGGACTTCTTTCTTGCGGTCTCCAAAACAGAAATGTTTCCAGTATTCTACATCACAAAGAAAAGTTTCCTGATATACTTTATCCAGCAAGATACAATGCAAAGGCTAGTCAATATAATGGCCTTTTAAACTAAGATACAAGGTGCTTCTGCTACTGCCCTAGCACTTTTTATGGCACACTTTCCCCTCTTATTATTCATTTTACTTTTTAAAATATAGATCTTTAAAACTCTGCTTAATAGCTCACATTAAGTGATAACCATAGTTTAAAAATATCTGATAATCCATTTTTAGATAAAATGGCCTCTCAAACTATTATTTTTTTTGGACTGAGTCAGTTTCTTCAAATGAAGCCAATCTTAAAAGTCTTGTAAAACTTAAAAACCGAATTTCATTTCTTTTAGAGAGCTTCCCGGCCATTTTCTTTAACTTCAGCTTNTGAACATGTAATTGCTAAATTCCAAATTATGTACATGTAATTGCTAAAGTGCGCCATTGGCGTTTAGTCATGCTGGCCACATGACCATGGAGATGTCTTCGGACAGCGCTGGCTCTTCGGCTTTGAAACGGAGATGAGCATCGTCCCCTAGATTTGTGAACGATTAGCACATAAGTGCGAGTGGAACCTTTACCTTTAACTAATTGATAAAGTACAAATTATGAATATGTAGCTGCTACATTGCAAATTATGTAAAGGGAATTGCTAAAAAACTTTTATTGAAATTTGAAACAGAAGAAAAAAAAGAGAATGTATTATAAAACGGTAAAATTTTGGTCATAATACAGATGGAACAATGAGAAAATATGATTCAGAGGATTTTAAATATTAATGTACAGTTGAGACCAGAATTTTTTTTCTTTTGGGATTGATGGATAAACAATTGGAAAAAAGACATGAAACTTTATTTTTGTGTACAATAACTGCAATGAGATTATTATATGTACAAAGACGGAAGGATTCATCCATTGCTGAGATAGCTAATCTGACTTTTTTGTTCAGAAAAGTCAGTATCTATGTTTATTGCTGACTGGAAATGGCTTATGTTTGAATAAAAAAGGGGAAAAAATGAGCTTTTGATTTATGGTTTTGATGATTAGACAGGGTAGATTATAGGAGTAAAAGAGTTTTGTTGTAACCATAGAGCAAGAGGTAAACTTATGTTTGTACTTAGAATTTCCGTGTTTGAGATGGTGCTATAGGCATGTCTCTTGATTCTCTTCTGATTAAAGGAAATAAAAATTCCTATTGGATCCTTAAATAGACTTTGATCATTGGGTAATTAATTTTTTCTGATATATTATCTTGTTTTTAACAAGCTACTGGCATGGCAGCTAGACTCAAACAGTCAACAGCTAACTTAATTCGAACTGTGTCAGTAACTGCTGAGGCGGCTTAGCTTAAGAATTATTTTAAGTATAAGATTTAAGGTTTAAGGTTTATTGTATTTATATGCCGNCTAACACCCGCGAAAACCTCAGAAAACATATATATATATATGATTTAAAATATATAACTTGATATTAATTGTAAGTGATGACTGTGGAAGGGATGCATGAAAGTTTTTTGTAACCAATTGACACACTTTCTACAATTTGTAATGGAAGATAGTTTTGTGGTATTTTTTGTGATTTGTCTGTGTTTATTCAAAATAAAAAATTATTATATGCATATATGTATGTATATGTTGTGTGTGTGTGTGTGTATATACACACACATAAATATTTGGTGAAATCATCCGCACATACCAGTATAGCCATGGTCAGCTCTTCCCGAACCTCTTCTAGGGCTCCAATATCTGCCCATGTCACATCAGGAACAGTGACAAAGCCTTCTCTCTTCGCAGAGGGTTGCACTGAAGAGAGAGCGACCGTGAAATCTTTCAGCTCAATGCACAGCTTCTGCAGCTGAGCCTCCCCCAGGGGATCTGGCTCCTTGAGCAACTGGAGCAATCTTTGCAATTCATTCTAAAGAAGAAAGATTAGAGGAGGAGGAAAATGAAATACAAACAGATTAGACAGGGGATAAAAGAAGCACACCTTTAAGTTTACGGATAAAAATCTTGAATCCAACAGCAAGGTATTTTAAAACGCTTACAAAAATGACAGCTAGTATGGCTTTTTCAAGATGATCTTTGTTTTTTATGGATTTCTTTATCTGATTAAGAGATTGTAGGAATATTGTGAAGATTTTAGAAAACATAAGATACTGATAAGTAATTCCCTTTAGTAGAATAGGAACATTTTTCTCCTGTTGAATAATACCTATTAATACTTTTTAAAATTTTTCTGGGGATTTTTCTCATATATAATGTGACAGGGACATTTAATAACCCAAACTCCCTTCATTCCAGTAGTGGTCAAAACTGATGCACTAGATGAAGATATATCAAGGTCTTCTGCCCATTGCTGTTAACTATACCTTGAGCGGTAGATGTGAGTCCAAGAGGACCCTCAAGTTTCAAGACCACTCAGCAGAGGGACTGTGACCCCATCCTGAGCTAAAGATGGAATCTCTCTGGAATCATATGGTTTATCAGTCTAGAACAGGGGTGTCAAACTCAAGGGCGGTGGGGTGCTTAAATCTAGCCCATGGGGTCAGCCTGGAAATATCAAAGAGCTGGCCTGCTGTGCCTCTGGCGGCTAAAATGGGCTGCGTATAGCCCCCCATGCCTTGTTTTCACCCTCCATGGCCTTCTGCAGCTCTCTGCTAGCCAAAAATGTCCCAAAAACGGCCCTGAAAACAGCTGGCAGAGTGCTGCAGGAGGCCACAGAGTGTGAAAACGAAGTGCAGGGGGCGCATGCGGACCCCCTGCACCTTGTTTTGGCCAGTAGGGTACTGCAGGAGGCATCTGTTCCACCACTACCACACACCCCCTGGAGGAGAACTACAATGCTGATCAGGCCCTCGAAGAAATCCAGTTTGTCACCCCTGGTCTAGAATGATTCTGTTTTACTAGGATTATGCTTTACCCAGTTTTTTGCCATTTACACCAAATTGAATCCAGGCCCTTGATGACATTACTTGCCTGGTCTGAGATTGAGATAGAACTTTGTCTATCACCAGTATGCTGATGATGATTCTCATCTTTTGTTGACATAATTTTCATACAACTTATTTTATAGACTACATAATAAATAAATTGGATAATTTTATCCACCAGTTTCATGTAGATATTCACCATAAGTGGGGATAACATCAAGCCTTGTGGTATTCTATAACTGGAGCCTAGATCACACCCTCTCTCCATCATTATTGTCAATGACTGAAAGTAACTTTTCAGAGGGGAGGAGAACCGTTACATTTATTGCTACCCATCCTTAAGTCAGGAGGAGGCAGTCATAAATCAAGGGTCAGTAACTGTGCCGACTTTAGGATCTGTGGACTCCCATGCTGGCTCAGGAATTCTGGGAGTTGAAGTCCATTAGTCATAACGTTGCCATAGCTGGCCATCTCTGCATAATATGATCAATGGTATTGAAAGCTATAGAAAGTAAATATTATTAAAAGGGTCATATTCCTATTTCATGGGTCCTCTCACTATATTCTTCAGACTAAAACTATAGACAGACAGATGCTTTCAAGTCAGTGTTAAGTCCTGGAAACTGCCTGGATTAGTCTCTGCAGTTTTCTTGGCAAGATTTTGGAAATAGTTTGCCATTGTCTCCTTCCTAGGGCTGAGAGTGAGCGACTGGCTCAAGGTCATCCAGGTGGGTTTGCACCTAACTTTCCCATTTTCTGGCCTGATACCTTATCTACTACACACAACTGGTTCAAATGCTATATTTAATTATACATGTTTACTTTACTTTTTAAAATATACCTAATGCTAATATATATGATTTTCTTCTAGGAAAATCCCCTTTTATATACCCAAACATGGAACAAATGAATACAATAAGCTACAGGTGAAATATATACTTCACTAGGAAGATCTGGTTCTTCAGCATCTTCTTTCACATTTTCTTCTGTTCTCCTTTGCATGTCTGGTCCAGGTGTTGCTTCTTCATTTTTCGTAACGTCCCATTTCTTCCCATTTAGCTTAACAAGAACTCTGTTAACTGTGCACATTGCTGCCTCACGGCAAAGAGCCAGAAGGTCAGCACCAACGTAGCCTGGTGTCACATGAGCCAAATGTCCAAAATCAAAAGGTTCTTGAAGTCGAAGCTTTCGACACAATGTCTTCAGAATTCTGGTGAAAAGAAAATGAAGATGATTTTGCAGCTTTAATTTAATTAATTTAATATTGTTTTAATAATTTATTCTTATCGCCTTCCAAAAGATAGAACTTGATGAAACCATTTCTGTTTAGCCCCACCCACCCCCAACTCCCAAACAGCAAAATCAGTGGAAAGAGTAAGACATGGAGTGTTCAAAATATTAGAAATATTTCCACTTTTCTGCTGAGACAATATTTACAAAACATGAGAAGCATTTAAATATCTATGCTGAAACAATTCTGACTACTGGTAGTCCTCAACCTATGACCAGAATTGAGCCCAACATTTCTGTTGCTAAGCAAGGCAGTGGTGAAGTGAGCTTTGCCCCACCCATTTTACGACCTTTTTTGCAATAGTTGATAAGAGAATCTGACTTCCTCCATTGACTTTGGTTGTTGGAAGCCATTTGGGAAGGTTACAAATGGTAATCACATGACCCTGAGACACTGTAACTGACATAAATACACGGCAGTTGCCAAGTGCCCAAATTTTGATCCCATGACCATGGGGATGCTGCAACCAAACTGCTCCTAAATCCCTTTTTTCAATGCTGTGGTAACTTCAGTCATTAAACAAAAGTGGTGGTAAGTCGATAACTACCTGTATATGACAGCCAATAAAGAAAACTTCATTCCCTTCTAATTTATTTTTATTACTTGCTGAGATAACCAGGCTTATCATGCAGTCACTTTTATTTATACTTTAATCAATTCTGACTAACTGATCATCAGAATTAAGTGCTTTCCTCTTGTGAAAAAACCTGTTAGTAATCAAATGTTCATGTGAACCTTGTCCAAGATGAAATGTACTACCTGTTCTTTAAGATGACAGAAATGGTAACGTCATCTCCCAATCAATAGAAAGCTTCCCCCCCCCCCCAAACATTATTTCAACTACTAGAGGGCAAAAGAACACACTCTGGGAAGAAGAGGGTCAACCAAGTTCAAATCTTTTCACTTTTTGGAATATAAAAGAAATACATTCTTGAGAGAGATAAAGGGACCCACATAAGCCTACCCAATGTAAATAAAATATTTCATTTTCTATTGCTGTTCTGTCTGTCAATTTACTGTTGCTGCTGGCTATACAAATGCCAATTATGACTTTCAAATCTACTGCATATAACAGGCAGCTACATCGTTTCCATGAGTATTAAACTGCAACAGTATTTACTACTCAAGCAATAGTTAAGTCCTCTAGTCTTCCCTAGTTAAAAATCTATCCAAGAGAATCCTAGGACTTCAAATGACTTTATTAAATAAAAAGAAAGCTGACAGACTTTTCTCTTGCTGCTTCATCTGGAATCCCCAAACAAATTTCTCGGTCAAATCTTCCTGCACGTCTCAGGGCTGGGTCCAGTGAATCTGGCCTGTTGGTTGCTCCAATGACAAGGACCTGAGGTGCAGTGGTCAATGTATTCAAGTCTGAAAGAGGAAGCAAAGAAGCGAATGGCTAGTAATGAAACAGCTGATGTTGGGTTACCAAAGGTATACCGTGTTTCTCTGAAATACCCGAAATAAGCACTTGGCCACCCGAAATAAGTACTTGGCCTTATTTTCGGGGAGGTCTTATTATTTTTGAGGTGTAGGAGGCCGTGAGCATGGTGACCTCATGACTACTGCTGTGTTGCAATATGTTTGAGGAGGGCTTATTTTCGGGGGAGGGTTTATTTTACCGCATGCGCTCAAAAGCCCAATTGGGCTTATTATCTGGGGAGGTCTTATTTTCGAGGAAACAGGGCAGTAATAGTAAAATTATTCACAGGCACCCAAGAGGGTAGACATTTCAGTATAAATGCTAATTCTGAGTAATGCATGTACTATTTCTCTCCAATGTGTAAAAATAAATAAACATAGTGTTGGACAAAATTTAAAATACAAAGACATTTGCATCAATCAATCACAGCATGCCTGCATATGGGACCTTGGCCTTAGGGATCTTGAGCTGAATGAACAGTTGAGGGTTTTTTTCCTATTTGATTCAAGTTTTTGGTAACTCCCAGAAACAGTTTTATTATTAACTAAGCTTTTCAAATATGTTTTACAATAAGTTAATTGTATAAACAACACCTCCCTCCTCCTATGACTCATCCAGTCCATAACGGCCCTCTTGAGGCCGTTATGGACTGGATGAGGGCTAACAAGCTTGTACTCAACCCNGCGCTCAGCGGGCCACGGTAAAATTATCAAAGGCTGACTGGTCCGCGGCGATAAAAAGGTTGGGGACCACTGAGTTAGACTAATCCTAATAATAATCCTATGTTGAAAGAACGTGTGAAGAACAAAATACAATGCATGAATCAGTATATAAACATGGTGTATCGAACAATTAGTTAGAATTTTTGTTGTTATTTCCTTTTCTTTTATTTCATGTCTCTAATTTGTTTTGCTTGCTATTTATTCTTTTATGTGCTTTGTATACTTATGTTTACCTCTATGTTTGTATCTCTGCATTGATTTTATTCTTGCAGACACATAACGTAATAGAGGATAATGTTACGCCCTGAGGTTCAAACACATACTATTACATGTTTAATTATTATGTCATTTATTATTATACATGCACTACTCCACTGCCCCTTTCAAAGAAAATATAAAGTACTAAATCTCTTATTACTCACCTATATATTTTTTGTAGTTCTGCTGCTAGAATTTCAGTGTTAACATACTGGCCACATTTATTACTGCTTAGATACTGTAATAAATATAGCTAAGTTAGTATATTTAAAGATACATACAATTCCTTTAGAATATGCAAAAATAGTATTAGCTTAAAATTGTATGTGAACAATTTAAAATAGAGGCATCCATTTCTTCATCACTGCAATTATCTATATTAGTTTTCAAAAGCAAAAAGATTAAAGTAGAATCTTAATTTACCAGATTCCTATTTAGCAAATTTTGATCGTAACAGATCAAATTTTTGTTCAGATGTCATTCCATAATAATGGACAATTAAGTGTATATTAATTTTGCAACATCATGAAAAGTGACTTATGACCATTTTTCACACTTACAACCATTGCATCATTTCCATAGTCACATGATTAAAATTCAGATGCTTGGCAACTGACTTATATTTATGACAGTTGCAGTTTCCAGGGGTCATGTGATCCCTTTTGCGACCTGGTTTCACTTAACAACCATTACTAATTTATCAACTGCAGTGATTCACTTAACAACTGCGGCAAGAAAAGTTGTAAAATAAGTCAAAACTCACTTAACAAATGTTTCACTTAGCAACCAAAATTCTGGGCTCAATTCTGATCGTAAATTGAGGATTACCTGTAAATCTAGTGAAGAATGGCCATATTGATGTTTATCTTTCTTTTCACATCACTGAACTCTCTGAGTGGGCAAATTAGTAGAATTTGGCAGGACAGACAAGTGAACAAAGGAAGAGTAGGAAGAACAGAGTGCAAGAATCAAGGAAGAGGAGACCCTGCTGATTGAATGGTTTTGCTGGTTGTTTCCGAGGAGCTTGGCAATCTAGATTTGGTTGCTTTATAACCAGTGAGCAATTATGACTGTCACAGGTGCCTTGGTCATGGCTCACTTTTGACAAAGAGTCAATAGAAAATCTGGCAGTAAAATTGCAAGCCACAGTTATATGATATCTTGCTTAACAACTGTGGCAGAAGTGAGGTTGTAACTCCATCAGGGTCATGTAATAGCTCATTTAATAACCATGTCACTTAGCAATGGAGTTGCCAGTCCCAACTGTAGGAAGACCATCTGTATTTACATATTACACTTTGTCTTCTCTCCTCAAAAACTCCTCTACTTACAACCATCCATTTAATGACCATTTGATGTTACAACAGCACTGAAAAAAGTGACTTGGCAGTTTTTCACTTACAACCTTTGCAGCATCCCCATGGTAATGTGATCAGAATTTAGCCGCTTGGCAACTAGGTTATATTTATGATGGTTGTAGTGTCCTGGGGTCATGTGACAAGCTACTGACAAGCAATCACTTGGGGTGCCAGATTCACTTAACAACTGTTGAAAGGTTGTAAAATGGGATAAAACTCACTTAACAAATGTTTCACTTACCAACATAAATTTTGGGCTCCATTATGGTCGAAGTATTGGGAACCCAGAATAACATCTCTGTCGCAGTGTTTGCCCACTGGGATGACTCGGTGTGTGTGTGATTTTGTGTGTGTGTGTGTGTGTGTGTGTGTGTGTGTGTGTGTGTTATAGGTATTTCGGAGGGACTTTAAGGCCTGGCACTTTGCCCAAATCTTTGACTAGGATGGACATAATCTCCCTTTTGAGGAGTGTGTCTGTGTGTACATGGATGGGTGCGTGGGTTGTCATCCTTCCTTTTTTTATAACTATATTGTTTTATAGTTTTTCGTGTTCTTTTGTGAACCGCCAACAGTCATTGGGTGTCGGAGGGTGTATAAATTAAACTAACATTACACTCACGATTCCTCGTTTCGTGTCCTAAGCCCGCTATGAAAAAGAAGATGGAATTCCACCGCAACCGGCTTCTTATATAAGGGCGGCTGCTCATCATGACAGAGCCAACTAGGAACGGAACAAGAACGGCGAAATCACCTGTTTAACTCGCTGTTTCAGTCTGGGGTCCCCTCCAGAAGGGTGGTTTCCTCCTCGATTCCGCATAACAGCTTCCCACGTGTAAATTCCTCCTTTCTTTCAGGCAAAATTTTTCCGGACTAGAATAGGACCCCAGTTAAGGCTGTCTTTAAAAATGCCTAAATGTACTGGCAACAGCGAACTTTTCCAGGCTGTCCCATCAAACGGTGGACTATGATTATCAAGGCGATAAACTGCTAAGTTTCAGTACAGAAGGGGGGGGGGAGGATGAACAATAAGTAGTTCATTCGTATTTCTACACAGGCACTTTTTTAGACGCCTAAAACAGAGTCTAAGTCACAGAAGTCTATGTTTTGTAGTTCTCTCGGGTGTTCTTGCCAATTTTACCAGTAATTTCTTTGGGTTTTCGAGAGAACGGGCGCTTCCTTTTAGACTCCTAAAGTGGGACTTCAAGTCCCAGCGTGCCGTGCGAAGAAATATTTTCCACATAAATGTATAATAGGGGCAAATCTGAGGAACTCGATAAGAAGAGGCGGAAGCGCTGCTCCGACAGCCGCGAACAGGCTTAGAGAGGCGGGGCCCTGTACGGTGGCCGAGAGAGCGGCTGTTTCCGTAGCACGATGGAGTCGATGGTGTTCATATTTTCGCTCATTGATTGCTGCGCCCTGATTTTCCTTTCCGTTTACTTTGTATCCTCTTCGTTTGTTTGGGCGAGGGGAGGGTCTGGGAGCCGGAGAGCGCTAGCGATCGGCTCTTTCTTCCGGCCTGCAGTTGAGCGGACCGGCCGAGGCGGGGGCGTTAATGGCGGTCTGGCTGGGGCAGGGGCGGCGGCGGCGTAAAGGGTGATGGGACCCAGCAGCAACAAACGCTGGCTGGGGAAAGCGAGGGAGGAGCGGTTTTTCAAGCAGCGTGAGCCTTAAGGAGGCGCGCTTGGAAGAAAGGTTGGGCGTCTCGGGTGGGGGTGAGAGGAATTGAAGGCATGTCGGCCAAGTGAAGGTGAGGCAGAATCCATCGCCAAGCCAGGTCGGATTCTAAAAGCAGGTTTTCGTTGTGTCCGGTACTTGCACAGGCCGGGCGTGGCTGTTTCTTATTTAGCTAGATAGTCAAAAACACAACTGCACCGGTCTTTTATAAATCCCCATCCCCTATCTGTGTTTTTGCATGGGGTTGATTACATGCTGTCGGGATCTTGTAGGAGCAGCTTGGGAAGCCTTGTATTCTGCATTGGTTGCAATGGCCAAGAAGAACAGTTTTTAGATTGGCTGCAGAACCAAGATACAATAGCTTTCATTCTCTTTTGAGAAGAAGTTCACTAGATTGATTGATCTACCATTCAACTTTTGGGTTATGGTATCCTGCAAGACTTATTTTCGGTATGTATAATAAATATCCTCCCGTCTTTAAAGTTTGCATAAAACTCCTGATTGAGATATTGCATAATGCATTATTTGTAGTATAAAACTTCTTGTTGTCGATCCTGTTCAGTGATGATACTTTTAGTTTTCCACTTGAAACAACATATTTTTAAAAATTGGCATCCGTAGTCCTGATTGTGGGAGATTAATTTATGTGGATTAAGATATGTAGAATTGCGCTGAAGTTTCACAATACTGATAAAATGTGTTTGCTTAGAATTAATTCTGTGCCTTATGATCTTTATCATTCTGACTATTGTATATACACTTCAGTGGCTATTTCATATCAGATATAAAGGACATGTACTTTAGATACCTTTTCAAGCACTTAAGTTATTTTGAAAAGTATTAAACTTTTTTATGTTGTTGGAGGACTGCATTTTCTGAAAGACGGTCTTCATCAGATGTTTTAATTTCATGAATAAAATTTTGCTAGTTTCTTTAGGAATTAAAAGATTTGGTAAAACTAAAAAGGAACAAAATTGCTTGTGTGTGTGTGTGTGAGAGAGAGAGAGTAGGTAGCCCTCAACTTATGACCACAATTGAGCCTAAAATTTATGCTGCTGAGAAATTTTTCAAGTGAGTTTTGCCCCATCTTATGATTTTTCTTGCCACATTTGTTAAGTGAATCACTGCAGTTGTTAAATTAGCACGGTTGTTAAGTGAATCTGGTTTACACATTCACTTTGCTTGTCAGAAGGTCGCAATGGGGAATCACATGATCCCGGAACATTACAGGTGTCATAAATATGAGTCAGTTATCAAGCATCCAGAGGTAAATCACATGACCATGGGGATGCTACAACGGTCGTAAGTGTGAAAAATGGTCATAAGTCATTTTTTCAGTGCTGTGGTAACTTGGGTCTTAAGTCTTATATCAGTCATCTTTTGTCTTATGCAGCATATTTATTGTTGGTGGCTTGTGTTAAGATATTCTAAAATTTAAAAGGATAGCTCTGAAGTTTAAACCTTAAGAATTCTGATTGGCTTTCAACAGATGTTATTTTAAACAATGAGTATCAAACAGTGGATTCAAATTGTGTTTGTTAGATTTTAAATAGCTCAAGTTCTCCAAATTCAGACATTAGAGAAATCTGATTACTTTAAAACTTGAAGCAATTTTTTAAACTTTTTGCTACAAGCCAGGTGGCAATTGGCTTCCTACTGCAAATCGAAGTATGGTTATCTATAAATCCCTGTATTGCAGAGAGCCTGGATATCTGAGGAACTATTTAGTTTCAATCGTTTCTGCCGATAAAGTATGTTCTGGCAGCATGGCTGCACTCTTGCTCCCTCTCTAGTGAGGGGAGTGAGGAAGTCGCAGCCCCCATCCTCTGAAACAGCAGCCCCTCAGTGATCAGGACGGCATCCTTTCTTAAGGTTCTGCCTGGAAAGCTCTTAAAATCTGTCTGCATTAATATGTTGGGCTGGGGAGGTTTCCTTTGTGTCATTTTTAGATTTTTTTAGTCCAGACTGTTTGCTTGGTTTTAGATCTCACCCCCCCACCCCCGCCCTGTTTTTATGAGGGAGATTGGTTTTATACCTGTCCATTGGAGTTGGGTAACTGTAATAAACTAAAATAAATACATGATAAAAAGGAGGGAGGAGAAATTGAACTCAAATATTGCTATTGATAATAATAGAAAACTGTCTTAGTGGGCGAGGGGCAACATCTGAATCAAATCAGTAAGTGACTTCCTTGTGCACCTGCAGAAGTTCTACCTTTCTTGGTCAAATTTTAACATGGTTATAAAGAACCAAATTCACAAAACAAGCAGCTTTGGAAACTCATGAGTGATCAGTTATAGTTTGGAGCTTGGGTGGCATTGGGTAAAGTCACTAACAGTTAACAGGGGTATGGATTCTGGTTTTATCTATATCTTTTGCAAAATGCTTTCATTCTTCTGGAAGTCCTAAGCTGGAGGCCTGTTTGCTGAGTTTTATATAAAATCTTCTTAGGATGCCATTTACAATTTGTCCAAATAATTTAATTCTTATCTAGAAAGGGCAAGGGTATCGTTGACAGAATAGTTGTTCTTATCTTGATCATCAGATAATTACATTATCAGATTTGGAATGTGACTACATTAATGCCAGATCTTGCTGCTCAAAACTAAATAAAGTAAGTTGTTTTTCTTTCTCTTTATTTTTTAAAAATGTTAATACAATAATGTGGCAAATGTTGTAAATTTTTACATATGTATTTTTGGCTTCAACTATTAAAAGGTTATGTTGCCAGAGAATGGCATCTATTTTGGTTACATCTGAGGAATATTTGGTTTTCTCCAGAGGACTCCATTTTGTTTAATAAGTAGAATATGCAAACCAACATAGCCCAATCATAGGTTCTTTGGGGAACAGTGGCAATCCCTATTTCTAGGCATATAAATTGTAGTTCTATTACCATCTGAGAATAACTACTGTTATACTCAGTAGGATTGGCAAGCATAGGACTACTCTGATAGTTGGAAAGTATATTGTGATGAGATGTAATTCATAAATGCACTAAATAATGCTTTGGACAGGTGTCTTTCTAGAGCAGTAGTAGTAAACTTAGATTCTTCAGAGATTTTGAATTAACCCAACAGCCTCACTACCAAATTATTGTGGAACTTGTAGTTCAAAATTATATCATTAGTTTGTTTGTACTGTTTAAAAGTTTTCAAAAATAATCTCCTTTCTACAAGTGGTCCTTGACTGTCAACCATAAGTTTAGTGACTGTTCTAAATTATAATGGCACTAAAACAGTTACTTGCAACCTGTCCTTGCACTTAGAACTGTTGCAGCATCCTCACAATCATGATTAAAATTTGGGCACTGGGCAACTGGCATGTACTTATAACAATTGCAGAGTCCTGGGGTAATGTGATCACCATTTGCAACATTCCCAGTTGGATTCCGAACAGAGAAAGTTAATGGAGAAAGCCAGATTTGCTTAACAACTGCAGTTTGTTTAACAACCATGGCAAAAAGTTGTACAAGTGGGTGCTACTTAACTGCTTTCCTTGGTTTTTAATCAAGGACTACCTGTAATGTTAATTCAGAGAGGAACCACAGTGAACCTAGAATTACTTCCTTAATATAATTTTCTTAATACCAAAAAATAAGAATTACTGTTGTAGGGAAGACTTAATCTTGGAGGCCAAATACTAGAATCTGGATTGCCTACATGATAGTCTTGGACACTTGTATTTATTCCCCAATCTCATTTTTTTCCTTCAGTGTTTCATATACTACGTTTCCCTTTCTTTGCTGAATGCTTACTATGTGTAGTCTTCTGCTCTTGCAAGATCCCAGTGTTTTATTTGCTTGCTCACAGAATGTATTATTTTGTGCTTGCCTTTCCCTATTCTTATTTACAAGTTTATTGTCAGTCATCTTTAAGTTGTCAAGAGTAATAATTTTTTTATAAACTCTTTTATTTAACAACCTGTCATGGATTAGAATCCATTGCTACCATATATCAAATGTATATACTCACCCTTTTTATAGTACCATCTTAATGCAAGAATTCAAATTGATGAACAGAAAATTCTTAATCATGAAAAATAAGGCTAATTTGAAAATTAGGTTGAAATATGCCTGGCATTTTGGTTTACCCAGAAGTGTTGAATATATAGGATTTAACTCAAGACTGTTGCATATCATATTAGATAAGCTGATTAGGTTCTCATAAATATTCCAAATATTCTGATGGTATTCCTAGAAAGTAATCCATAATTTGTAAATTTCTGCTTTGTAAATTGCACTTACAATTTATATCTGAACCATCCAATAGAAATCAATTACTGATTCTTTTTAATCAAATAAGTTTTGCAGCCCTTGTCAGCTTGCAGGTAGAAGATTCCTGCAGAATCTTTATAACAATTTTTTTTTAATTGTTTTGAAAATCTTTCTAGTGGGTGATCCCTGAATTGATTGGCCATACCATTGTCACTGTATTAATGCTTATTTCACTGCACTGGTTCATCTTCCTCCTCAATTTTCCTGTGGCAACATGGAACATATACAGGTAAGACCTTTGGTGGCTTAAGAATTGCATGATGTTGGTCATATTTTTTCCTCTCTTAATAAAGAAGATTTTTATAAACTCTGCCTTGTTCCATAATTTATTAGTCTAGCCAAGTCAGCAGGAAGTGACAATGTTACTTTTCCTTTCTCATTGGATTTTAGCATGGATTTTGGATAACACCAACAATAAATATACTAGATTTTTCTTGTCCCAAGGAGTATAGGTACATATATAACTTCCATACTGCTAAAAGTGTTAAGTTTAAAAACTGACTTTGAGTATGGATCATGTGAAAATCTAGTGCATCATTGATACAACTCAAAACCTACTTTTCATCCCATTCTGAGAAGAAAGCAGTATAAAATCAGTTTTGTATTTTTCCAGGAGCAAGTATCATATTTCTTGGTGCAAAAATACCTAATAATGTAGTAATTAGTCATTAAGCATTGAACAAGGACTGGAAATACTTAGATTTTGCTCTACTCTTAGCTGTAAAAGTACTGGAAGATTGTAGACCAGTGTCTTTCAGCTCAACCTTGTTCATAGGGTGGTCTTGGATGTAAAAATGAAAGGCTTCTGGAAGGCAGGATATAAATCTAAGAAACTACATATCTTGAATGTTCACAGGCCATGAGCCATTACTTTTGGAATTTTATCAACTTTGCTTTCACCTAAAGGGAAAAAGGAGAAAGTTGAATTATCTTTTAAGATTTTCTGTTTGCAAACTACAGCCCAGACTTAAATTTTGCCTCTAATAAACGTACTTATTTTTATTTTTTCAATTTTGGCAATGCTTCTAATTTAGGATGCATATAAGATGCATTAAGGTCTCATATACTTAGCTATATAATAATGCCTGAGGCTATAGCACTTTTGAAGCAAATCAAGGTGTTAGTAATTTCTTTGGGTGTGTATTTCCTGGAAGAAAAATGCAATATTTCTGCTTTGAATTGACTTTGGGTTGAGTCATTTTTATATTTAGTAAGCAAATAAAAAGTATAGGATATTGTTTTAAGTATCTCAAGTTTTTTATGCATATATTTATTTCTAATGCAATATACCGAATAGAAAATGTCAGTGATTTAAATGTAGAATTTTAAAGTTTAATAAGTTAAATATTTTAACAAATTATATGCTAATGAGTTCACCATTTCTAAACAGTGCCCAAGCTTAAAAGATGATTTAAGATTGATTGAAAGCTGCATGCAAAGTTTAACATGACAAATTCAGAGATTCAAATTTCTTGGAGAAAACATGAGCTTGCGTCAGATTTGAAAGGTCTTTTGATTAATACCAGTAATGCATCTCCACTGCACAAGAGCATTTGTCTGTCCTATTTACCGCTTCAGAGGCTTGACATGTATCAAACAGTTTTGGGATGCATGTTGAGTACAAAGGAAGTTGCAAAAGCAGGATGTATTTGAGTAATGTAGAAGGAGCTCAAAAATGATCTATTTCTTTTGTTTCATTCTTCTGAAACCCGTAAGTGTTATGTATTGTTTGAAAGAACTCAACCACCAATTGATTTCACTTTGTTTTGCATGTTTTGTCTTTTTTGATATGGAGATCATTAATCTATTGGGCTGGAGCACAGTTGGTACTGAAACAATTTTCTTGAAACCATTTCAGGTATATCATGGTTCCCAGTGGAAACATGGGAGTATTTGATCCTACAGAAATCCACAACAGAGGGCAGCTAAAATCACACATGAAAGAGGCCATGATAAAGCTTGGTTTTCATCTCCTTTGTTTCTTCATGTATCTTTACAGGTAAGTTTCAAGGCTTGCATATTGAAGTTAGTAAAGCTATTCTTAAGATTCCTATTAGAATAGTCTGTTATAATTTTAATGTGATTTAAATCTTTGGAAGAGCCTTGGTGGAAGCAGTGCTATTTGTCGTCAGTGGAGATATCCCAAACTGTTCTATACTTGACTTTGTTTATGCCACATTTTCTGCCTCTGATGAGCTGACTATTTTAAACTACGAAATCTGATTATATGACACTTTACTTCAAATAGGAAGTGTAGTTTCATAAATCTTGGAATTGTTAAAAAACACTCTTTTCTGTCCCCTCAGAAGCATTCAGTTTTGCTGACATAAATTGCAGACAGCAATCATGTTTATTTAAAGCTCTACAACTTTTGACATGGTCTTTCTTTTCCCTCTTTATAGTATGATCCTGTCTTTAATAAATGACTGAAAATGAAGTGGCCAAATGAAGTATTATGGTTGCCAAATTGATGTTACTCCATTGAAATACTATGAAGCCACGAGCAACTCTCAAGAAAATCCAGACCAGTGATGTCATGCAGTATATTTTTTCCTCTTCGAACAAAACATATTTTTCCTGTATTTTTAACATATAAAATATTTTAGAAACTACAATACTATGTTTTTGCAACTATTGTTTTGTTCTTACTCAAATCCATTTTCTTACTGTATTTAATTCTTATGTGAAGTTTTTGCAAGAATACTGGTTACCCAATGGAACAAATTCACTTATTACAGTGAAACAGCAGCTATAACCATTTCATTGAAGATTTTATCATATAAAAGGAAGCTTACCAGAGACAAATGACCAATGTTTTCTTTCTTATAGGCAACATTTTAAATATGATTCACTTATGTGAATGTTTTTTAAACTGAAGGCTGAAATATGTTCAGTGGCCAAACATTTGTCAGTTCAGTGTTACCTGCCATATATGCAACCAGTTTCCTTCAATTTAAACTGTTGCACTCATTTCTAACATTCAGGTCCCCAGAGATTGTACTACAATATTTCATGGAAGTACTTTCTCAAACACCTTTTTTAATATATTAGTATTTTTGCAGACTATATGATATATATATATGTATGTATGTATGTATGTATGTATGTATGTATGTATGTATGTATTCATTCATAGTTTGCCTGTATTATAATGGCAATAAGCCACATCCAAATTGAAGCTGTGCAGTATAACTGCAATCTCATTTGCTGTTGGAAATTTGGTACCATTATCAGTTCAATAGACTGCAATCTTCCAAGCTCAAGACCACACCTATAGCCACTGGTTCAGTAAACAGCCTGATGTTGCTTGACTTTTCAGACAGCTGCCGTCTAGCTTTTGTAGCCTAAGATTTATGGGGATGGCTTTGCTCCAAGTGAGTAACTCAACTTAAATCTGAGCAGTATGGGTTCCATTCTCACAAGAATTCTTGCTGGATATTCATGGATTGAGGAGTTGCATGATCATATGTGAATGCATCTTGGAAAGGAAAGGAACTTCTGTTCCTTTCTAGAATGAAATAGAAGTCAAAGCTTATAAAGCTAAGAACTAATCGAATCCAGTTATTTATTTAGTTTATTGAACTGGAAAGAGGGAATACAAATATTTGTTAAGTGCTGTGCACCAACATGGAAAAGTTTAATTAAAAAAACTCCAATAGACAATCAGGTATTAATGTAGCTTGACTTGAACGATTTTAGATATGTTTAATATACTACATATTTATAAAATAAAAATTAATGTGCCCCATAAATTAGTAAAACCAGTGAAAATAAATACGGAGCCCCAAAATTCATGTTTTAATGTCAGAAAAGAAATTTAAACTACTTAATATAATTCAAGAGGAAAGTAACAAAATCCAGAAAATTTAATAACGCAATCCTTTGAAACATTTAATATCAGTCCATAGCAAATAGTCATTACATACCAAAAGCTCTAAGTGTTAACTAGTTCCACCACAACTCCATATAAATCTTGACAATTTAGAAATTTGAGAACAGTAAAAGTTCTTTTCTTGATCTCTACAGCTTGGTTTGTAAATACACACATACTTTGAGAATGTTTCTTCCTCTTACATTTTTGGAGCCAATAGCTTTTTCCATCTGTGCCAATAAGTGTTAAGAATCAAATCTAGTACGCTTATTTTTAACAATGAAACACTTAAAAAATGGGGCACACTGTACTTGAAATTTATAAAAATATATTTGTATTAACCAAATTTTAATGTTAGAGGACAAGACAAATACACACAACATGACTTAAAATTATTCAGTAAAACATGACATGTACCTAGTTGGTTCCATGACTGATTCTGTTTTACACACACATTCATACCATACACACTTTGCTGAATTCTTCTATATGAAGTGAGCAAGTAGCAAACAGGTTTCTAGTTTGTGTTCCAGCAACAAGAGCAGCTATTGCAGACAACACTGCACACATCAGTTAAATCCTCCCTATTCAAAAATGTTATCTGTCATACGAGTGGTTTGTTGTATGGCAGCTGAAAATGGATGCGAGCCAATGCAAGATAAATATATATAGATACAGATATATCTACATATATGGAGTATTAACGATACATGGTTAGTAATTTATCTGAAATGCATCAATCAGAGGCAACGTGTGCTTTGGGGTACAGATAAAGGGCACCAAATCTTATGGAAATTGGTTCATTTTCCCTTTCTGCCCCAAATTACAAATTAAGACATTCTTCTGCTGTTAAAAAGGTTACTAACTCTCCTTTCCCTAATATATCTATTGCTAGCATAAAATTAGTATGAGAAATAATTTTAAGCCATTTTAAAAGGGTGGGAGATTTTTGTAGTTAACATGGCACTAAACACCTAGCATTATTTAAATGTCATTCAACAATACCAGTTTGGAAGTCAGAATGAAATTATTGGGGGGGGATGGGTAATTTTCCACCTGTGACTCCATATTCCCATCATTTCAAAACTGAGGGAAGCTAGCTACACATTTACAAGGCTATTTACGGGTTACATAAAAATTAAATTCCTTTTTCTCTTTTGTGCTATTTTTAAAGTGACTTACCTGATAAAGATGAGAATCATTGTGGCAAGATAATTTATGGTTGGCATGCCTAGTTTGGAATTGATGGTCAAAATGCTAACATGTTTTCATAGATCATCTCTGTTGTATGAACAATTAATAATTGATCTAGAATTTACAGCTGAGATTGAGAAATACCTACTGTATGAAAATAAGAATATTGCAGATACACCTCTTCCATATCTTTTTACAATGAAGAATTTAGTTTTTAGTTTATATGAAAAGTGACATAAATGCCTTCCAATGCACATGCCAGAAAATACTGGTGTGTTTTGTCCACCCACAAAAAGTCCTAGCAGTGTTAACACTGTGAGACAATTGGACAAATTGGTCTCACAATGTAGTCATAGGAAGTTGAACCTGGCAACAAATGTTAATTCTACATCTGGAGCTGCTACTTAAGAACTGCATAGCTTACATTATGCAGTGACATTTAGAAGTGGCACTTTCAAAACATGACTCTTACTCATTTCCATTCTGAAATGCTTTTATATGTATTTTTTTAAATTCCTTAGAAGAAAACTCATAAGAAGTAATGTGCTTAACTTCAGTGCTTTTAATTTAGTTCCCCCTTAGTATTATATTTCAAAGAAGGGTAAACTATAAGTTCAAACATGTTCATTAAAGTCTATGTATGAAATTTTACTTGCAAGCACCCGATTGTTTTGAATAACCCGAAGAAAGTAAATTATGCAAACTCTTTCAGGTTCAGCCACTCCTGATTTTTGCTCTAATGTCCTAAAATAGTTTTGAATTAATAAGCAATTTTAGTGCCAGTACCATGATGGTTAGAGATGTAAAGCATTTCAAGATGTTGAATGGGAGTATCTGCAAGTATCTGTAATAAATAATTACAGAAGCTCAAAAATAACTATTAAGCAATTTCAAATAAAATAACATAATGTCAAATGAACAGAATATATATATGAATTGACTATAGCAAACATAAAGAAACACTACTCCATAAAATGAATTGAAATAAAATGAGCCACATATAGAGTTCAATCTATTAAAAAACATAAAAGGAAAGCATTGTTACTTTAAAAGACTTCTGTAAGCCTGGTCTTCTAAAACATTTTTTGTCATTTGAGTTATAAAAACTAAGTTATTACATTAAGTAATTGGAATACCAGCTTTCCTAATTTGATAAGTGTTTAAAGAAATTTTGTGAGACATAACTAATTAAATCAAATGCTATGAAGATAAGCACGTGCTAAATCTGAGTTAAGAAATACACTGAAGTGCACTGACTGTGATTGCTTATCACAGGATCTGAGTATTAAAGACCATGCTTAAGTTCCAGCAATGTACATTCTCTTCCAAATATGGGACTTTCCTCAAAATTAAAGAACTTTCCATTTATTTAGCTTGATTGGGCTCGATTTTTTTCATATAAATTGTTGTTTCATTGTTACACAGAGGTATGTCCTTCTTTAATTTAGAACAGTTACACAGATCCAATACCAGGCCATTGGGGGTGGGGGGTTGCATATAAAAACTAAAGACAACAACCCATTCCTAACATCAAACTATTAACAAGCATCCCCTGAGAAAACAATTATGGGGTGAACATTATGTGGAACACTTGTATAATGTACATATTTAAATTCAAAAAGTAAATCCATTAATTTTGGGAAATGATTCTAAAATATTATCCCATTCCCATTTTAGTTTTTGTTTCAAATAAGAATCATTGCACAAGTTTTAGCCAATCTGGAATTTTCATTTTATTAACTTCAGAAATTACATTATAATAGTTTTATTGGTGATTCTGAAAGCTTTCAAATTATGTTGGTAAACAAAGGTTTTTTTAAAATAATACTTTATATAATCTGTGTAAAACTCCTGCTAGCCAAATGGTCTTACACAACACTCAGAAGGAGCACCAAGTATACTGCATTAACTTGTAGATGACACTTTTTAAGCTGGTTTATTTTCCAAACGTATACAAATCAAAGTCATTTTAATGCTATAAATAATTTATTCTTAAAAAAATTTGTGCTGTTCACCCATTTATAGGGTTACAAGCTACGTGAAAAGTACAAAACCTTTTTGTCAAGTGTGATACTGAGAGTGCTTTTCATGTCATTCACTGGTTTTACATCTGGATTTGGATATACTGCGCAACGGGCAAGGCTAGAATCCATGAACCAAGCTGCAAAGATCTCGAGCTAAATAAGGCAGACTCAGAGAAACAAGAGAAGGAAATACTTTCCTATCCAACATGTACTCTTCAGACTAAAGCACTCTTTCTATCAAGCTTTCTAAACTGTTAAATAAAAGGTTTTCCAAACAAGCATTTAAACTTCATTACACAGAAGAGCAACAAGAACAGTAGTCTGCCTGACAAAATGGCAGAAGGGGAAAATGTATATACGGAGTTCAATGGTTAGCCTGAATGTAGCACAGTTCTTCACAACCGATGGGGGGTTACTTCAACATGGTGTCCAACAACGTTCTAACGACGTGCTTCATCTCAACTGTTTACTATGAAGCAAGGTGGTAAAATGTTTGGCCCCAGTCGGGCTTAAAAAATGGTTCATTTTCATGATGAGCATGTCTGTCCAGCTATCAATCATGTTTGTTTGCACCAAATCCCAAGCCATTTAAAATACGACTAAATTTAAGTTAAACAGAAGTCGTCTGCTCCAAATTCACCATCAACTATCCATGCTACTGCATTCCTCTAAGGGGAAGAGATAAAATGTAAACAAAAATATATTAAGAACATCCATATTGTCTTGTATATCTCAATCATGATATATGCACATTTTAATCTCACAAAAATAAATAAAATCACTGTAAATTCACTTCATTCACTGTAAACTAACTGAACAGCAACAATAAAGATCAGCAAGAGCTTTTACAAGTTTCTTCTGCAAAATTGCAAGAAATGGAATGGAATGGAACGAAAGAGCAATTGACAGAAAACATTCAGAGACAAAAACTTGGGGTAATATCTAATTTTCATATCAATGTATATTGCCCAATCAGCTGAAACCAGTCCTTAATCATTTCCTCCTTTATAGCAATTATAGGGGGGGGGTGATAGACAGAATCCACATTCCAGTAAATGTGTACTGAACATGGCTTCTGCAACTGAAGTCTGGAATTATTTCCACTCTCAAGTTGTGACCATATGCTTTTGTGTTTGTGTGCACCAGGATCTATGGGGCAGACTGCATGTGTGCCATTCTGGATCACACTACTGAGGAAATCTTGGTACAGAGCTCTGACTGATTTAGTGAGTTGTACATCTCTTTCTAATCCAGATCATTTCAAACTTTTTCAGGGAGGGGATTGGGTGTTTTCCTTTAACAACAATTTGGTTTGATTTTATTTAGGTTTTAGGACATTTTTATTCTGAAGCCGTTTTATACCACCCCACCCCACCCACCCCCCAAAAAACCCTGTAATCCCACCTGTATAACTTGGTGGAGCTCAAGTAATTCAAATGACAAAATGAGAAGGGTTGCTATCTGAAGTGCAGCAGAATCAGGAGAAAATTTTGTTTATTAAATCAGTTTGTAAGGTTGCTCACTTGTCAATAATTCTGGATATGATGACTGTCTATCATGAATACTAATTTGAAAGCAGTACCAAAACAGATGGGTCAGATGGGTTGGGCAGAAGTTTCTACATAGATACAAAAATGTATATACTTCATTGTCTGTTTGGAAATTATCTGGATTATGATCATGTTGAAAATAATATAAAATTTATGATACAAATGGCAATACAGGAAAAAAAATGAGGAAGATTAAATTACTAATTACAAAGATGGGCTCAGTCTCTCTGCCAAACTTTTCTGGGTGATACTGTCAAGGCTACTTTTTAATTCAGCTCAATAAAGGACAAGGAAGGAGACAGAAGCAGTACCACTGGAACAATCCATCACATCTTTGGGGCTGAAGCCTAAAAGATTGGCTTCTGACCAAGAACTGAAAGCCCATTTAAATTCCAACTCAAACAGCTCCAAGCCTAACCCTTAAACACAATTGTTCATCCAATTTGAGAACCCCTGCAATATAAACTATCACTGTTCTATGCACAAACAGCCAGCATCTACTATACACCACACAGGTACCAGTACTTCAATCCATCAACAATAGAGTACAACCAGTGTATCATCTGTGGAAAATATACTTCCTTTCCTGAACTTTTGCAATTTTTAAAAGGAGCTTGCAATTTGTTTAAAATGTGCTGTTACACGATTGCATAAGCTACTGAATTTTATTAACTCTTATTTCTAATGCAGCTTCATACGCCTTTGCTACATTAATATAGTGATGGCAAAATCCTAACCTAGCCTAACCTCAGTAGTTTGTATTGAACTAACGCTAGGGAAACAACAAACCTCCACAGCACTTAATTTTGACTTGGAAATCTTTATGTTGTTGTTGTAAACCTCTCAGTCACTTGGGTAAAATGGGGGCACAGAAATTTAGTAAACAAATAACATTTAAGCTGTGACATTTTCATCTAGTTTGATGTGACAGGTAGATCCAATGATTGCTAATCCCCACTGTTGAATAGGATCATATAGTAAAAGTAGCAAGATTTCTTTCTACTTTCATTGCACAGAGCAAGTTTGTTTAAAAAGGTCTTTATCAACTTAGAATAGCCCAAATCGTAGTTCAATATTAACCACAACTAGGCTTGGGCCAAGTAATCTAAAATCTTTGTGTGATTTGTCTATCACAGCAATCCAGAACAATCAATCATATTCCATGTCCAACATTTCCTTCATGTCTGAGGCCATCCAGCAATGATATGTGAAAGCTAACCTATTTTACAGAGAAAAATAAAAAGTAATGCAAAGAAAAAGAAATATGCTTTAGCATTATTTTTAAACTGCTTCTGCTTTGACAAATGTATTCAGTCTCCAATGTTTAGTAAATACATAAATACATTAGATTGTAGCCTTGCCTGTCACTACATAAGATGTATCACTGGAAAAGGTATTGAATGTAGTCATTGCTGTAGTAATGTGAATTAAAAATACCAAATGATTTAGTCAAATGTTGCTATACGTGAGCTCTGTAAATCTAAATCCATCTGGTTCTTGCAGTGGTTACAGCTTTTCCTCCAAGAAGGGGCAAAGGAAAAAAAGATAAGTATTAAAGTCCTGAATACAGAATGCAGGTCCGAACAATTCAGCCAGGGAGGGTCTCCTCAAAGGCGCAAGAAGGCTGAGAAAAATGTAATTAGGTTTGTGAGACTGTGCTTTACTTCGATATCCATTAGAATCACTTAAGATCAGCCCTCTCAGTGAAGGTGAACCTTTTTTGGCTTGTGTGCCAAAACTGGGGGGGAGCGCAGGAGGGTCGTGCGCATGCATGCCACACCCATAATGCTATGTGCACGATCCAGCATGCATACACGCTTTCCCCCCTGTGTGCATGCGTGTGCGACCAGCGCTTCCCCCTACTTTTGGCATGCTTTTTTCGTCCTCCCCAGGCTCCAGAGGGTTTCTAGGAGCCTGGGGAGGATGAAAACAGCCTCCCCCGTCCCCCCGGAGGCCCTCTGGAGGCTTCAGAAGCTTCCCTAAAGCCTCCGGACCACGAAAAACTGGCCCTATGGGCAAACAGGAAGTTTAGGAACAGACTTCCGGTTTGTTCGTAGGACTGTTTTTTGCCCTCCGGAGCCTTCAGGGAAGCCTCTGAAGGCTCAGGGTGGGGTGGAATGAAAAATGGTCCCTCCCCCTGAGGGGAACAAACTAGAAATCCGTTCCTGAACTTCCAGTTTGAGGCAAAAAAGCCAAGGCAATGCCTCACGTGCCCTAACAAATGGCTCTACGTGCCTCCTGGCACGCATGCCATAGGTTCGCTATCACGGCTCTATATAGTAATGTTCTTTCATTGTTTAGGTATGGATGAGATCTAAGCTACTTAGGTACACTCTTTGAAAGAACTGAAGAAATCCAAATCATATGATTCTTCTTTTTCTGGGGTGATGGATTTAACCCACCATTTTATTCCTCCTTATCCTGTCTAATGTCCTTTCCAATCCTTACATTTTATGATACTACCAAAATGCTTTGCTGGAGGCATATAAACCAAGGCGGGGTGGCCATTTTGGGGGGGGAGGGGGAGAGTGAATTCCTATAGTGGGAAGAAGTTTGGACTAGAAGATACCTAGGCTATTCAAACCTTTCACTGTATGATTAAACTATGCATACACCATGAACTTTGCAAATCACTGTATTTAAATGCAATAAACAAAAATAAACATAAAACAATTGAATCTTTAAATCTTTCTCTCTCATAAAATTAGTTTATTTTTTTTTACCTTCAATATCCTGGCTGTCTACAAAAGGTGATGGTCCCCATATTCTAACAGTGCCATCATCAGAGGCGCTGGCCATCATGGATGGAATTTGTGGGTTCCAGCTCACGCAGTTGACTGTACGTGTGTGCCCCGTCAGTTCCGCAATTGGCAGTTCACTACGTTTGTGCCAAATATATACTTTATGATCTAAGACAGATAGGTTTGAAAAAAACATGAGATCCATCCTCAATTTAAAATATGCTTTGTAATCAACATGACAACCCATGTTTCCATTTAAAAAATTCCATGCATATCCCAAAAAATGCTGAATGCTACATCCAACAGTTTCAAGAAGGCTTTTGAAATTCCATATTTAAACTAACAGCTTGTACTGAGTTCTTTCCAAAACAAAGATATTTGTAGAAAATTAAGTATAAAGGCAGTATTTATATTATATAATTAAGAATCTGTTTATATGCTAATTTCAACTAATACATTACATACAAGAATGAAATTGAAATACAAAACTGAAAAGCTCTGGATTCTAACTCTTGAATTTTTTAATTTGACTATTTTAATGATAGATATGGGATTTCCCCAGAAAACTTTCTGCCTTTTGAATAAAGGACTTCATGTGAGATTGGAAAATAAAATGTTTTTAAACATAATACTTTATCTATGACTTTAGTGAGACATCCACTAAATTAACTGTGTGATACCCTATTCAGGAACTAACTGCTGCATGGAAAAGATAGTGGAGAAACCAGCCAATGCCAGCCCACATGCAGAATAAGAAAGAAGTTCAGATAGCTCTTATTTGCCTTGAAGTATAATGCCCAATACAAATACTTTTTGCCAGTAAGCAATCCATTTCACTGTTTGAAGAAATTCATGACACAGCCAAGTTGTAATTTATAGCTGTAACTGTGTTGATGCATTCAACTATTCACATAAAACATTTACAAAGCTGAACATATGAATGAAAACTTCTATGCTATTGCTAATCCTGACATCAAGTTGAATGATCATAGAAAGGGTGGATGAAATCTTAAATATGCAAGTGTCTGCATTGTGAAAGAACCACATACCAAAGTAGTTGCCAGTGATTATATTTTTGCTATGTGCTAGAATAAGTTTGTGCCTTTACTTAAATATCTGATTAAATAGAAGCACCATAAGATAAACTTTTAAGATGTACAAAAATGTTAAAATCATTTGCTTTAATAATACATTCAAACAATGATAAAGGAACCAAAGTATTTTGGTTTCTTCCCAAGTATTACAAATCCTTCTACTTACATGCCACATTATTTAATAGAAAAACTTACTAGCTAAATCAGCTCATATAAGATTTTTAAAAATAAGTGCCACAACATCTAAATTACATCAAACACCCTTGTTTATATTTCTGTTTACTCTCCCAATTTTAATCTGATTAAAATTTTTAATCTGATTACACATTATCAGCATAACTTCAAGGATCATTATTCATCTTAAGGCAACAACACTCAGCACTTACTCCCATGAGAGGTTTTTTTTAATGGTACCTTAATGCTTCTTTACAGAATTAGACGTGAACTTTACTCCCAGGGCAGACCATTTGATGTTTGGGGCTGGTAGGTGAAATGCCTACCTAGCTGAAAACATACCTTTACATTTAAGAGGTTATGACATTTAAATCTGTTACTTTTTTTGTACATAGACTTTCACAGCAGCCATATTTGCAACAATTCAGTGCAAAGAGGCAACAGCCTCAGGCAGTCCGAATCTAAATAAGGTGCCATCAGCTTCAACTACAGCTGGGTAGTTTTTAGACACTGAAAATGAAAAAAATAAAAAGCTGTTCTAAGTTGACCTGGATAAGTTAATCGGCATATTCATGTCAAACAAACAGTAGGATGTAGCTAAGTGACTTGTCCACGCTGTCCTAAGTGGTGTATGAATTATTCGATACACCAAAAAGTCAATAGGCTGACAGATATTTCTGGGCCAGAGACTGTGTGGAAGGGGAAGAGAGTTAAAATGCATGCGTATAAGGACTGACACATATTTACAATGACAAGTTATTAACGTAAGGTCCAATAAAGAGGTGCTGTTCTCAGTTCAGCATTTCACCTATTAAAGACAAATAATGCATTAAGATACTATTTTTGTTGACTCAACCTATGACTGCACTCCTGTTCAGACCAAAACCACATCTTCCTGAAATTTTTTGGGTACAGTAGTATTGTTGCCTACTCTGTATTAGCTCCAATTCTACTAGCAATACAGAGCAAGAACGTGAGAGTGGATCAGCACCCTTAATGCCAAGCACATATGATAAACTGGCTTCTCAGACAATTGACTAGAGAACCTGCTAAAAGACAACCATGATTGTTTCAAGTTGCTCACGATGGAAGATATTGAATACAGTAGATTCTGTTGCAGTATAGATGATAAGTCTCTTAACACAATTGATTATAATCGAAATCGCAGATGAATTTACATACCCTACACCTACCTTTAGAAAACATATCTATAGCAAATAGAGTTAATATTTCAGAGAACTATTAGAGCAATGGTACTCAATACTGGTCAAATCATATCAAAATTACAGACATTACTCTCAAAAAGATATAACACATTTTACTTGTGGATCCCACCGCTCTCCGAAGTAGAATCCTTTTTTTAAAATGAGTATTTAATGATCACCATTTATGGAAATGGAAGGCACATCCACTTTGCTTATTAAAATTCAAAGATTGAGAAGACTATAATATTCACCAATGCAGAAAGTTTGTGCTCGAATATGAGGGAGGGAGGGAGGGGAAGAGAGACAGAGACAGAGAGGGAGAGAGAATTTTTTTAAAAAAAATTACCTTCACTGCCACTAGCGATGAAGTCTTCGTTATGGCCTCCGAAACATGAATGAATTGTGTAAAACCCTTGTGTAACACCTTGGTACTTCCTCACTAAAACTCTGTCTTGCAAATCCCATAAATGAACTCCCTGAGGACAAAAAGTATTGTAGAAATAGTTTATTGTAAAAAATAGTTTCCTCTCCATTATTTGGTTTCACTGTTTAATAATTTAATCTGAATAAGATTCAATACATCAATAAAAATTTTAAAAGGACTATTTTTCTTCACAAGCAAAAATCACATGAGCATTTGTCTTTTATCCAGCAGAACCTTTCTTCTTATTTCTCCCCAAAGCAGAACCCATTTACATTTCCTGAAAGCTTCTATCTTGAAACTTTCAGGAAAAAGAAATAAGTGATGTAGGACTGCAGTATGAAAAAAAACACCATCACCAGTAAAATGTGAGCAGATGCTCTTTCCCACATATACCAGCTGCTGTAATATTTTCGCCAGTTCTCCCCACTCACTATACCATGTGTCACATCTTAAGGCTTCTAATAGATACTTTTGCATGTGAGAAATGAAGTAGAATATAATAAGCCATCTTAACTGTTTCAAAACATCACACCAATTGATAAAAGCTTTTCCAGCTTTCAATAAGATTTCTTTCTTGCTCCAAGATATGTCAGGGACCGAATAAGGGATCTTTCTCAAGAAAAATACATGTCCTACTACTCTGGTCTTTTCCTAAATTGTAGAGGGGACAAAACGTATTGCACGAATTGCCTTTTAGTTAATAATATTTGGATATAAACTTTCCATAGCCCTCTTGCATTTGTCAACAACTGTATCTGTTCAAGTGTTTAGTCTATCCTATTGCAAACATTTTGGGTTAAGCAAGCTTCATTTCCTTATACAATTATTTAAAAAAACCAACAATTTAACTACTTGATCTGGAGAAATAAAAAGGAATGACTTTTTAAGAGAGCCCTAAGAGAAGATCTAAGATAAGCTAGAACATCCACCTAGGATTGTAATTGGAAGTTTTATCCTCATAATTTTATGATAGCTATTTTTACATTTTAACACTCTTCTCAAAACAGTATGCCTATTTAAAACAACAACAATATCCCCTTACCTGAGTTGCGACATTTAACAAAGCTAGCCGGCCATTTTTCGAGATAGTAAAAGACATAATTGGATGGTCTTCTTGTACTCTGAAAATATAAACAATTGTAATAGAATTATGAGTCAAAATTATCATTTGTACAAGAATGTAAATATCGTTTCAATATTCTTTATTACAAGGGTCTTACAATGAGCTCAATTATGACTGCCCTAGTAGTTCACACTTTAAGGTTTATTTTTTATTTATTTACTCCTCACATTTATATTTTATTATTTACATAGGAATTTTTTTGAAAAGCCCAATTTATAATTAACACATGATCTAGAAGTCATGTTAAAAGTTCTTTTCATTGCTTAGCCAACCAAGGATTATTTAGTGAAAGAGAAAAACAATGTAGTTACATATTTCTGTCTGTAAGGTCCTCAAAGTTATAGCCCCGAATTCGCTGATGTGTGTCCGATGCCAGCACAGTCTTCCCATCACTCAAGCACCACAGGCACTGCACTCTTACTCCTTCCCAGGAGTCTAGGAGATTACCATCTAAATCCTAGACAGAGAATAGATAAAGCAAAACTCATATAAAAAAATCTATCAAAAACATGAAAACTATGAAACCCCCATCATGAAATGGTGGGGCTGTATTGTATTTAGGATATTACTTAAAATTTAAAAAGTTTTGTTCTTTTGTTCTGTTGAACTTTCTTTCTTGCCTACCAAAGTAGGGTCTTTATGGTTCACAACCTTGAGACCACAGGAGGGGGGGGGGGGCTGGAATAATGTCATTCTAACATATGCTGTTTTGTTTCCGATGGATATTCAGGGATGCAACTTGTGTTTGATTAGAAAATGCAGAAAGGAATGCAGGATATAGATTATTTATCTTGCATTTCATGGTAATAATTATAATGGCTAGAATCCTTATTACGCATAGTGATTATATGCCATCATAAGCTCTAATACATGAACATTTACGTCATGTTGAATGTATTATTTGATTGACATCACAGAATTTCTTTTTTGTAAGAACAGTAATATACCCAATTTCATATATATTTCAGATAACAAGTCCATCAATGCTAATATGGCTTTTACCAAAGGTTTTTTTTAACAAACCACTTCTAAGCAGTTTTTCATTTTAAATATATATATTTAGGCATATCACAAACATTTTAGCACAAGGACCCCTATATCAGGGATGAATGCATTTTGTATAGTAAAAAACCCGCTTCTTTATAAGAGGAATGGCAATCTGTATAGGTAGATTGCCTGAACTCTCCAAAAGTTTCTACCCTTTTGGTTTATAAAAAATAGGTGTTGAGTCCTTTCTAGGTTTAACAAATCTGTTTTCCAGTGAATCCCCACCCTATCCACAGCATTCATGGAAATCCCTCCCAAAACAGAATGAAAATTATATCTCCACCCACTTTGAAAAAAGCTAAATAAGAATAACAATTTAGCCAAGGGCTGCAAAAAGATTGCCCATTCCAACTTACACACTGGTAAAATTGCCCACGCTGCCCTCCTGTCACAAAACGTTTTCCATCTGGATTCCAGGCCACACTGGTTAAGCTATCCTCATGGGATTGACTCATCTTTGTCCTTAGCTCCCCCGTCTGCAGATGAAGTTATATAGGTAAGGTTCTTTGAAATTGTAATATACATGGGCATCAGTGTAGTTGAAACACCTAAATACCATATGTCTAATTATTATTTACAAAATTGGTGATAAAATACAAAAGTGCTTTCAAATATATAATAAAGTAGCTATTGAGTACCTATAATAAATCAACCTTCCTTAATGTCTTCAGGCAATTTTAATTTCAGTACATCTGGGAAGGGGCAAGGAATGCTGTGAGTTTCATTCTCATTCTCTCTCTCCCTCCCTCCCTCTCTCTCCCACTAACAACATTCAGAATGTTGCTCCATTGCAACACGGAACACTCATTTTAAGCTTTGTCAAAATGTTAACATTTGCAATTTTCTATATCGAGTTATCTATAATAATAATAGCCAAGGATTTCCTCCAAAAGTATCAAATAACCCGAGTATGGTCCATATATCTATGCTATTTAATTATGGCATGCCAACACCTCACATTTATCATCCTTACTTGTACATTCCAGAGCCAAAGCTCAGAGCAGTCATCTGGGCCACAGGCAACCAGGTAGTTGTCGTCAGGACTCCAAGCGATATAGGAGACACCATATGCATGGCCTTCCAAAGTCTTGAGCAGTTTTAGTTGATGTGTATCCTTTAAAAGCAGAAAATATAAAATTCCAGTAATTTGATTGATTGGCAAGCCATTTATATAGCTTAAGTAGCTAATCTAAAAGAGTAATTTATTCTCACAATCCTACAAACCATTTAGCAAAGCAACATATTAGGAACAAAAATTTGGTTTTTAATGTTCACTTATCTAAAAAAAAAGAGATGGCACACACTCATTTTCTATCTAGAAGAATAGATGTCTGGATTACACAAGGTAACCAGTAACTCTCTTAAAAATGTCAGTGGCCTTTCTTGACATGAACTCATGCAAAGCAAAATATTTTCAACAATATTAAAATAGTTCTATGATGGAAAAGAAACATTGAACAAAATAAACCAAACTCAAACAACCACTCTTTGGTGTTACAAAAAGGGGAAATTCTATTTGTCTAATCTGCATAATTACAATAGAAAAAGTAATAGTTTTAGAAACATTTTTGAATAAAATATACATGAGAAAATTTGTACATACACAAATATATAGCTTTGTATTATTTTCCTTAACAAATAAATAACAAGTATGTTGGACTCATTTGGTTAACTGGTTCTCTTTATCTAATTTCAGACTTGTGTGGAAAACAGTGAATATTGCAGTTATTCAAATTGTAGCTAGTTTGCATACCTTTTGTTGGATTATACTTTCCATAAATAAAGAATAAATAAATTAAACAAGAGATAAAAGTTTAAGCCAAAAATGCATGGAAACAGAACCATGCCAAGGTATTTAAAAATGACATAAGATATGGAAATCAAATGGAGGAAAAAAGCTTTTAATTTTATGCAAAGAGTTTGCCATATGGAATGATACTTACAGGGTCAACCTGCCATATAATAACAGTTGTATCCTTGGATCCTGTTGCTAGTTTAGTGCCATCATTGGAGAATTTACAGAACCATACTTCATTACAGTGCTCTGTAAGTATTTGCTGAGTATAACATGGAAAATGTTTCCTAAAAAACAAAGTTATGTAGAAAAAGTATCAGTTTTATGTGAACTAATATACAATGGAAACCAAGTTTGTGAACTTTTAGTACAATCCATCATCTTGCAGACTGTGACCTACAAACTGAACTGAGTTTCTTATTCATCAGTAGAGTGTGTCTAATTAAACAATGCATAAGAAAGCATAGGGTATCATGTCTCCACTAAACATACCGAACCAACTTCATCTTTGTTGAAAAAAGTATGCAATGCATCAGATTTAATAACTAGTGGCATTTCCTTTACCAATAATGACTTCAGCCAAATGTTTCTTGTACCAGTTAATCAATCTTGCATACATTTTAGGCTATCTTGCATAAACTGCCCATTAAGGTAAGGCCACAATAATTTCGTGTGTGTGTGTTGCATGTGTGATTGTGTGTGTGTGGCTGTGTGTGTGTGTTTAATGGGGAAACTGTTAAAAATCATATCTGATAATCTCACTGATTAGAGGTTTTGTTGTATGCTACCCAAAGTCACATTGTTCGAGTTGGATGGCCCTATAAATCTAATCAATCTGTTATTCTGACTCCATTGATCCATTTAAGAGAGCTGATTATATTAGTTTTACATGTTTTTCCCATAATAGTGAATACTAGTTTAATGTGTTCAATGAAGACATGGGACAGTATGGTATTTTATCTTATATTTGTTTAATTAACATCTCTCTATTAGACTTAGATGAAGCTTTGATTACACTCTAGGCCAAATACTTCAAGATTGCAGATAGTACTAAAGGTTCACAAATATTCTTTCATCACTATAAATATCCATACTAGCATCAGGCAAATGATTACTATTGCATGCACAAAAAGGGGAAAAAACACACATTACAAATGCTTATCAAATGTCCTGTTTTCCTATGTCCTATCTTATTTTTTTCCTACTTGATTTCTTTGTGCAGAGATGGGGACTGCCAAATATGACCAGGATCTAAAGGGCCATGAAACTATAGTTGTTTCAAAGACAGCTTCCCAGGATGCAAGATAAATTAGGTTTAAAATATAACCAACTTTCAAAATTGGTTGGTGAAAATGCATGAGTATGTTATTTATTATAAACCTTCCTACCCTCACCTCAAGTCATGACTCCTGACATGTGCTCTGAATCCACATCTTGAAACTATGAAGACAAGTATGGCCTCAGTTCTGATCAGTAGGGTGTCCAATGCATTTGAAAGAATACTTTGCAAACCATGTTGGCATGAGTTAAACACCCCTCTTTGAAGCACGGAGGCAGCTGCATGCTCCGGAAAGGCTAAAGCAACAACTTTGAGGTTTTTCTCAGATTGTCTGTGCATGTCTGTCAATGCAATTGCTGAGACTGCAAAACAAAGCAATTAGGCATGCCGATATGACCAGAGAACAATCTGATGTTTTGGTGTGTTGTCTACACTTTGCAGAGTGGTCTTCCACATGTTCTGCACTTCTCTATTGATCAGACTCAAGCCTCAATGCACAACTAGCCTCACAGATTTATTTTTATAATTTTTCAGATTTATAGAAAGAATTCTTAAATATATTTTGAAAATTAAGAATTGCTGAAATAAAGCCTTGACCTCCAAGCTTCATTTCTAACTTACCACTTTAAAGTCTGATAGAGGAATCTATTCTTGCAATCCTGCATACAGCAAGGCTGCCTGGATCTTCCTGAGTTTAATAGGATTTAACATAATGCATATTAAATGTGTGAAGAACTGCCATTCATGTTACCATTCTCCTTTTTAAAAAATTGAAATCTTTTTCTGGAGTTTTTGTCATATTGTTTGATGGAAGTAAGCTCCATTAACTGAAACTTGCTTTTAATTTGATATTATAGGAGACCACTATTAGTTCTAAGTGAAAATCACCACACTCTGCAAAAGGCAGAATTCAGACATTCTTAACTATTTCAGATAAATGTGATTAACAAATATCTGATGGTCAGTGAATCAAGATATAAAGCCTATATAATTCTTCATTTTTATTATTGTGTTTTCAAGCTGATCCTTAGTACATTTGTAAAAATGCAATATTCTTCAAGAAGTAAACTGGCTAGGTAAAATGTTTTTCCTCCACTTACTATATGCTCAAACAAAAATATACAATATTTAATTTTTAAATTGTTGAATATAAATTTAAACACTAAATTTTTATATGCTTGTTAGCCACCCTGAATACTTACTTGCATAAAACTGAAAATAAATCAACCGTCACAAGTTAATTACTTTTAACTGTTTAAAATTAAAAGTAATTTTGTTATATTAAAAGATTAATTGGCCTTAAAATTTAAAAAAAAACTCACCTATTGCAAACATGGTCTATGAGTAGTGATACAGATTCTAGATTATTATCAAGTTTAGTATTGTGATAGAGGCATCGGTCCCGTTGTAGCTCTACAGCCTGACGAAGCAGATTCTGCAGACGCCTTGGGGGGAGCATCACTGATGGGGGTAGGTAAGCTTAAATAAATAAAAAGGCAATTTCAGTGCAATCAATTCATTTTTAAAAAAAACCAAATTTGTGAAGTAAACTTTCCACATACGTGTCTAACCTATTTAAGCCAAAGACACCTAGATAACAAATTAAATATTATCATTCTATAAGATTCTGTTCACATAATGGCATTTTCTTCTTCACTGCACCCTTTACTCTCTAACATGTCCTAATCTCCCAACTCTCCAAAACAGATTTAGGAATTGTAAAAGTGGGAATATTTCAGAGAAGGAAAATTATGTGTTTCTCCATTCTACTGGGAAAAATAACGCTTAATTTGATAGCATAACAAACACGTAGTTAGTTCTACTCTGTCTTTATGAGCACCGAAGTGAAAGCAGACTGACAATAATTAATTGTCAGGCCCAACCCAAGAATGATACAGAACAATCCATCCAAAGTTCAGTTCTTCATTTGCTCACATCAAGTCAGAATCTTGCTAAACTAAATCTATTCTACTCTCATCTAACATACATACTTTGGGAGATTTTAGGAAGTGGTTAACTCTCTTCCTATTTCTGATCCAGCTCTAGTATGCTTTGTCTCTTGTCTTGTCACTGCCCCCCTACCCTTTCCTGGCAAACTGCCACTTCACTGTAGTCTATCACCTCCGACTTCACAGGTACAAATCATCTCATGAATTTATACTTTCAGATTAAGATTTTTCTGTTCAGAATGAAATATGCTGGAAATCTAGACAGGGATATACATGTCCCTTTGAAACTATTTTTTCTTACTTTGGAGCTTGTCTAAGAGTTTAGATCTTGATGTTGTTCCTTTTCCTTCCCATTCTGCTTTTGTGCGCAAATCTTCTGGATGACTACACATCAGATATCTGTATATTGAAAAGAAACACAAGGATTAAGCAATCTGGAACTATATACTAAATTGATATGAATCAATGCTCAGGGTACAGTTTCTATATAGTCAGAAACAAGAGACTGATTTAATGAAGGAGCTGTTCAACACAGGAGTCTGAATATTAAGTATGCTTTAATATATGCCGAAACAGATTAATCTGCAATGTTCAAATAAATTTATCATATAAGAAGTTTAAAGTACTATCTATATATATGAACACAAAAACACTCACGCAGGAATCATGAAATCTCCAGAATCATAAAGCCTACAAACTTGAAATTTGGCACGTATGTTCCTCTTGGCTTCTAGGTGCTCGGTAACAAAAGCTTTTTTGAAATGACCATCAGAGTATTAGTACTTCATATATTATTATTAACATGCTCTGATGCCAAGAAGTTAGGAGTTCTACTCCCCCTCCCAACCTGAAAACTTGGATGTGGGCATGGCCAGCCGTGACTCATCCAGCATGCTGGCTGAGAGTTTGGAGAGGAGCCTGAGGGAGAGAAGGTGATAAGATAGAAGTTTCTGTGGGGCTAGGCTGAGGGAGAGAAGGGAATAGGATAGGGGAGGCTTCTGTGGGGAAAGCCTGACGGAGAGAAGGTGATTAGAAAGGAGAGGTTTCTGTGGGGCAAGGCTGAGGGAGAGAAGGGGATAGGATAAGGGAGGTTTCTGTGGGGCAAGCCTGAGGGAGAGAGGGGGAGAGGCCGATGGTAACTACTCATTAATTTTCAAGTGTCAATTTATTAAGCCTGATCACATAATTTCGTAGTGGAGCATGAGTATTCAGCTAGTTAAAAGATAAAACTCAAAGGGAATTCAAGTATGTAATCAATGTGAGCGATCGAAATAAGTGCCTCCTGGTCCAGGAAGGGGCATAACTGCGGCACAACATGAAGCTGAGCAAAATCCACCCACACCCCAGCCACAACTGCCACCTGCACCTGAAGCAGGAATCATGAATCCAGAAGGACCACCAAACTGCTTACTGGTTAATGCAGTGCAACCTCATCTGAAACCAAACTAATAAACCCCTGAATATTGAGGAGCCCCCTACCCATAGCCATTCTGTCTTTCCAAAGTTCAGCAAAAGCCTGATCTTCCCCATCCAGGCCTTGCTGTCTTTGAGCACTGCAAAAGAACATTCACAGTATTACTTAATTCCCTCCTGGGATGAAGATGTATAAGTGAGTACTGGTACCTCATCCTGTCATGATGATTGATCTCATCAGTGGTTTGATGGACATGGAAATGGAGAGAGCATCGAGTCCTGCAGAATCCCACCAAAAAACAGCTGTGGGCTGGACTTCTCACTCCCTGTGTTACACCTGGGACCGGCCTCAGAGGAAGGAGGTGAACCAGCATAAAATTGTGCCCCCCATTTCCAACTCCCTAAATTGAGCCAAGGATATCATGGTTTATGGTATCAAAAGCTGTCAAGAATAGCAAGGCTGGATGTACAAGGTTGCACAATCCCCATTAAGCTCCTGGCAGAAATCATCCAAAACTATGACCAATGCCATTTGTCCCATATCCCGGCCTGAAATTCGACTGAGAGAGGTCCAGGTAATCGATTTCACCTAGGATTCTCTGGATTTGCAAGGCTGCTACCTTTTCAACCACCTTCCCTAAAAAGAGAAAATGGGAGTCTGGACAAAAATTGTCCAGAATGGTAGAGTCCATTGATGGCTTCTTGCGATGAGGGCACATCAGTGCCTCTTTAAAAGAAGTTGGAAACCACCTCAATCAAGGATGAATTCCCCATCACTTGGAAATTATGACCTCTCCCTAAGCGGTCTCGGCCAACCAAGAAGAACATGGATCTAATTCATCAGAGGCACAACAGTCCAAAAGACCTTGCCCATCTACTTGGGTCCAACAGGATCAAATTGTTTCCAGATAACAGGATAAGTTCACTTCCTAGACATCTCCACAGACTTGCCCTATGCTTGGCATCCAACTATGCAGGTATAAATTCAAGTATGTATAAATTTCAGTCTAAAACACTTACCCACTAAGGATGTGAATGCGCTCAGTGTTGTACTTCAGCGGTGTCAATTCACCACGCAGAACTTGAAGTGCCTCCAAAACTTTACCATCCTCCAGATATTCTAGATATTTTTGTTGCAGCAGCAAAAACTTCATCTTCTGACATGACAGAAAGCAGCAGATCAGGTGGGGAGAAAAGGCTGACTGAAGTTTCAGAAAACATTTGAATCTAAACAAGATATATACACCTTTTTACTTATCCTTTAAAAATAGAAATAGGTACACTTTCATGATAAGTGGGTGGTTTGAAAAGTCTCAATACTGAAAAGATGCACTGATTTATATTGTTAAGAGGTCATTCAACATTCAAATTAAATTATCTTTGTCCAATTTCTAACTATCCATGACCAATAATATTTAAATGCTCATACTACATGCTCCTCTGCAAACTATCTTAATATAAGCTCATTTTATATTATCACCAGTAAGCATAAAATCAGACTTCAGGGAAGGGATATGGTACACTGAAGCTTTCGCAGAGGTGGATCAATCCCACTGCAACTCAGATAGTGCAAGGACCAAGTTGTTGAATAAACAATACAACTGATGTCAACAAACTATTCCTGATAAACCTCTACCTGTTAGACCTATTCTCCATGTCCATTCTCATCCCATCCCTACTAGTATACAAAGAGAAGTTAGAAATGTATACATAATCTCACCTAGACTGGGTTAAAGACTAAATGTCCAGAACTTACTGCTTGCGGCAGTTATAAAACTTCCTCTCTACTACACTTACTCAAAAAGGGTATCAACCATTGCTGAAATAGTTGCTTGAATCTGATAATCACAGTAAAATAGATGGAATTGGTTCTGGAATCTAGCATCCTCCACCATGTTGAACAGCCGGTCACACAAAGCCATTACCTGTGCAGTAGCACTTACTATATAGGATGCCTTCAGACCAGCTTCAAGTTGGCTACTTGTCACTAGTTGGACACATGAGTTGTTTGATGCTTCAGAAGAGTAAAAGACAAATGGATTATATCTAAAGAGATGCTTAATATTTTCAGCATCAATCCAATGTCTTTTCCCCTGAAGATCCAGGTCTCAAAATAGTCCTAGATAACACAGCATAGATCTTCAAGTACATTATGCTATCCTTTGGCCCATAGTTTGCTGCTGTCATACACTATGCTATCTTTTGGCCCATAGTATGATGCTGGCTTTGGCGATAGCAGATAATTTGTTGCAACATTGGTTCCATATAAACACCATGTGTCACTGACTCAGATTCAGATGGGGCAGCTTCTCTTCCTCCGCATCTTGACCTCCAGACCCCAACGCAGAAGAATTGATTGGCAGAAATGTTACTGCCATTTCCTTTCTGAACTTTTAGGTTAATCACCGCCTCTGCTTATGTAGAGGGAAGAGATCTTCCCACAGCACTAGTTACTTTTTCAGCATTATCCACCACAATGCCACTGGTGGTACCATATTTGCCTGAACAGCAGGCATGATGCTAAACTCAAGCCTTTTTAGAGCAGTCACCCTTCCTTTAAAAGTAAAATAAAATGGGACTTGGGCTGTGAAGATTACTTCAAATACTTGTAACCAGTCACTGTCAGACTTCATAGTTGTAACTATTCCTGAAACTCAATCCCACATTCAGCTAACAGCAGCAGTATCATAGGCTTAATTTTTAAATACAAAAGAAATGAGAACAGCTTCAAGTGTCTATATTTATTAGCAATCATAACCTTACTACTGCTTGGTAATGTTCAGGGAAACATACAGCACAAACTGAAGTCTTGGGACTCGGGCAATGATTACTTTGACTTTTGATAAAGTTACTAAATCAGTAAAACAAAACAAGTCTCCAGATCCTGCCTCACTGTGACATTGTTCAAGAGGATCCATTTAGCTATTGGGAAGCCCAGAAAGACAACAGCAACAGCAACACATCACTTCAGCATAACTTTCTCCTGTTTCATGATGCAATTGCTTTATGAATGAAATAAGGTTCACAGATATCTGCATCCATTTTGTTACAAAAACCATAACTGATGGGGTAAAACTTTTAAACACCCACCTTTCAAGACCTTAATATTGATAAAGAACCTATGTTTTTAAATGTGCATAAGACATATTTTTCCTTCTCCAAACACAAATACATGTACAAAAGAAAGTTTCTATATGATGAGAAACAGTACGCCTTCCAAAGTTAAGATTCTCTTATTTTAGTCACATTACATTGCATTTTTTTAAATGGAAACATGCATGACTTTTGCCCAAACCTATTCCCATTTGTATGAAAGGCCTATACAGTGCTTTGAATTCCAAATGAAACTTATAAAAAAACAGGGGGAAAACCAGTTGTTTTAATAAGTTGCAGACAAGTGCTATATTCATATTTCCACATGTTCCAAAGCAGTCATTTGGAATTAAATACAAAGTGCTACGTAACCCTAATATCCTGTTCCCTGAAAATAAGACCTCCCTGGATAATAAGCCCAATTGGGCTTTTGAGCGCATGCACTAAAATAAGCCCTCCCCCGAAAATAAGCCCTCCATGAAAATATTGTAACACAGCAGCAGCCATGAGGTGACCATGCTTGTTGCCTTCTGCACCTCAAAAATAATAAGACCTCCCCAAAAATAATCCCAAGTGCTTATTTCGGAGGTTTGGGGAAACACAGTAATAATCATATTTGCTTCTAAATACATAGAGTTGAAAACACCAAAATCTTGCAGCTCCTCAACCATCAAGTATATATCGCTTTATTAAATGAAAAGGAATTAATTATGATACACAAATAAGTTTTATTCTGAAAAAGAGTCCAAATCAGTCCAAATATTAGATCCTGTATCAAAATCTTGGAAATATAAATGATCTCTGAACCCAAATATTAGTCACTGCTGAGTAATCATAAGAAGACTCTATTTCAAAGTAATTGTGTGCTAAGTTCGGGAAAGGCATGTTGTTCTAACATTCAGAAACTCATAAGATCAGGAACTTTTCTTTTTCTGAATGTCTGTTAATAAACACTACTTGATTATTACTCAAAAGAAAATTAGCACTTTTATATTCCATACCTGAGAAACTATAATCATTATAGCTCATGTATAATTTTGATACAATATGAAACAGTATTAACATCTACACATTTTCATCCCCCATATTTCATCCAATTTCTACTAAGTACAGCTATACAACCCATGGGTCACAATTACAGAATTTCCCCCCATTTTTACTGCACTCCCTATCTCAATTTTTGCTTTGTTCACCATCTTTCCATGTAACCACTTTACATGTCCAATAAATAATTCTGCTTAGCCTGCTTGCGTACTTTTATAGCTATACAAAGAAGTTTATATTTTACAAATGCTATGTCTTCAAGTGGGTATCACATTAACTGTGATACCAAATGGGACCAGAAGTTTACAATATGCCCCTAGGCAGTATTAAAGCTTTTAATTATTTCTAAGAAAAATTTTAATTGTTAACTCAATCACATTGTACATTTGTTTAGGAAGAACACAAATTATAAACAGGAAACAATATCATGACCTGAAATACACTAATTGGATTTCTATATGGAGTTATATAGGAGAAACCTGTATAACAACATTCCAAGGAGATTTAGCAGCAGCAGTAGTAGTAATAAATGTCTTCATGCGACTCATACTCTTTTCTTTCACATGATTTAAGTTTAAATGAGTTTTAAAAATTAAATAAATTATGCAAATGAGTTTAATTATGTTATTTATTGTATCACAATACCTCGTTACTCGTAATTCTTTTTGGAAGACGTGATGAATACTAAAAATAACGGGTACCAAGAAAATCACGACTTACCATGTGACCCGCTATTTCGGCCAGAAGAAATAACGAGTCATGAGGCAGCTGATGTCAGCAAGTTCTTCTCTAAACATCAAATACCAGGAGAAAGATGAGTGCTGGGACAAGATTTCTGTTTCAAAATGGGTTGAATACTAAATTTGAAGAGTTTTGAAGTAGTTGAGTGCAAAGGTATGACTGTATAATAATGGCTGGGAGGTGCTATTCTAAAGTAATAATATGCCTCAATATTAGAAAGGGGATAAAACTGCTTGTGTAAGACAATGATTTGTGTGCTTTCCACAAGGAATGAGGACTATACAATACTTTCATACAAATATTTGCCTGATGCTACATGTGAGTTCTCATTTAACAATCATTTATTTTGCAACTATTCAAAATTATGAGAGTGCTGAATAAGTCATAGTTACAAGTGGCCATCATACTTATGTATGTTGCAGCAGCCCCAGTTACATGATCACAACTACAATGCTGTAATATCCTTGCTGTCATGTGATCACCATTAGTGACCTTCTTTGCTGGTTTCCTACAAGCAAAGTTAATTGGGAAGCCAGCAGGTTGCACACAACAACCACATTATGTTCTCACTTAATGACTCCAGTAATCACTTAACGTCAGCAACTAGAAGTGTCAGTATTTCTGTTGTTAAGCCATGCCATCATGTCACATCATGTTTCACAACCATATAGCTTGGTGACAGAAATTTCATGGTTCCAATTTACCATTGTTAAGTGTGGATTATCTGTATATAGTACATGGTTTATATTTTAATGGAATTACTGCTCTACAATTTGTATAGAAATCTATACTAAGAATTTTCACAGTTTCTATAAAAAGCATGGTTTCTTGAAACTTTTGGCTCTACTGTATTTGCCACCTAGCTTTTCTACTTTGGGGAATTATTTACACCTTTTTAATGAAAGACAAATGAATAAAAATACATGTTTGATTGTAAGTTTTGTATTTTATGATAAATTCAGTATCATTAGAAATCATGTTTGATTTTTATAGTCCTAACATAGATTGATCTAATATGAATATAATTTAAAAATAATCTATTGTCATAATGTACCTTTACAATTAATAGCGATACAAAAACATGACCTCCACCAGGGCAAATAGTTAGAAAAGCAGTGCAAAACCTGTCAGGCTGGACAAATTTCATTCTAAAAAGTGGTTAAGGTAAGCAGGCTAGAAACTGGGAAACCTGATTTCTAGTATTGTACTGTCTTTGCCATAGAGCCAGCTAGGAGCTCTTGAACCAGTCACTTTCTCACAGCCTTAGGAAGGAAATGGC